GGGGGGGGGGGGGGGTTTAAGAGTAAGTTTTTAAGTGTTCTTAGTATATCTTAAAACGAGGTCATATGTAATAATATAACATTTAAAATGGTATTATTATTATATCCCGTATTTAATGAAAATTATTTTGTTACTCAATCTTTAATATATACCTAATCATAGTAAAATCAAAATATTTTATTATAATATGTAAATATTAATAAATAATAATCAAATATTATTAAAAAAATCTGTTGGGGGGGTGGAAACCCCATACACCCTCCCCGTAACTACGCCACTGATCCCTGGTCATTCTCTTTTCAAAGATCTATGGCCCAACATACGTGTATGACATGTGTCACTATATACTTCTGCGATCTTCTGCTGCAGCGATGAGGCGTTGAACTCGGTCCTCAACGAGTACCCGTTTCGCAACAAACTCGTTTTAAATTGTGTCAGATCATAATACGTATTCCAGTTTAACCATGAATCAACAGCGCCGCAATGTGTGTGTGTCTGTGTGTGTTCAGATTAAGTAGTCACCGTATGATAAAATTATGTTTACTTGTCACAAGCTGGCGTTATTATTTGTAACTTTTTTGGTTTCACAAAAGTTAAATCGGTAAAAATAAAACTAAGATTTAAATTTAATTTTCGAGATTTTCAACATTTTCAACTATAACCAGTAAAAAAGTAAATATTTTACTAAGATATTATTTACCGTATTTGATTGGATTTTAATGTTAAAAGAATATCATTCCTTTATTTAACCGTGAAAATCAAAGAACACGTTTTTACTCGCAACGATTGAATATCTAATACATCATTCAAAACAAAAACATTACAAGATTATACGTAAAGTGAAATCAGGATAAATATTCAATGCGTATTTTAAGAACAATCAATAACCACAATTTTTTTTATTTGTACTACATGTTTTACAATAACAATGAACCTGTCATCAATAGAATACAGTATAATGAGTTAAATTATGATAACTTTTTTGCTTGGAGAACTTGTATCTCAGGTTTTATCAATACGTATTTTAAAATCATATTTTTTATTTTATTAGTCGACTGGCTATACTGTCTTACTGAGTGGGCAACCAATAGTATATCGATAAGTAAACGATATTTTCTAGATAAAATATATCGTAGTCAAGATTCATTCTAGTATAGAATCAAACCTTGGAAATGTCAATGGAAATATATTAAACCATGATTTTCTGATTTTCTACAATTTACTAAAAGGAATAAATAAAATAAAACTGACATTTATATAACCAATAATAAAACTTCAAATCATAAAAAGTCGTGTCCTAATAATAATTGATTGGGGCGTATGAAACACAATCATATAACCAAAAAAATCTTAATAATAATAAAAGTGCAATTATAAATTAATAAAAATTTAATACCTAACTTTGTTCTAAAATAATATTGCTTTTATAAAATTATTAAATTAATAGATCTTTTAAAAACGAATATGATCTAACTATGACTATCTCAACTGAATTACTATAGATTTTCAGAATAAGTATAATATATCAATTACGAATGATATACGATATATAATTTATCTTCCACATCTATATTATCATATAATTTTTGTTCAGAATTGTGTTCGCGATACTATTATTAGTTTTTTTTTCACATATCCTCGTATGTTACATTTAATATGTTTATGTAAAAGAAATATAATTCGGCAATTAAAGGTGTGCTATACTCCGTTTTGTTCTTGTTAGATCCTACTTAACTTCAGTGCCAATATTCTATATTCTTTATTACCTACATTACAGAATAAAGAATAAACCGTTTTAGAAAGAAAATATAATTTGGAGTACCGTTATAAAGATTTAGTATCGTTCGATTATTTGAAGCGTTTATTTTATATTTTCTTCCTCAACGTCACGATTGATTGTCAAATGTCACACTTAATTGAGTATATAGGTACTACAGTAAATACGTCTTTAACTGATGTACGTGTTAACTATTCAAAACTTCAAGGCCTGTGAATATAACGGTGTTAAAGATATATTTGTCTATAGCTATAGTTTGTATAGGTACTGTTTGTTAATAATCTTTCTGAGACTTTGTATTTTGCAATTTTATATATCTTTCTTTAATATCTATCAGTATTAATTTATCTTAAACATGTAGAAATACGGATATTCATGATTGTTTCAACATTACAATATCGATAAATTTCTTTATTTTTTATCAAATAATTTATAGAAAGTATGTTTTTTACTTGTAAAATTGTTTTTATACTTTAATAAATAAATTACCTCCAAAATAACCTTATTTATTTTTAACTATAAAATTTTAACTCTCTGGATCCTTTTTGGTTCTCTAAATTAGTGTATGCTATATTTTTCAACCGTCCTCAAGTGAGGTTTGGTCGAAAAAATTATTCTTAGTATTGTACTTGTATAATTGTATTATTTCATTTTATCATTTACCACTTATTTAAGTCGTTTACATTCCAAGGAAAAACAACATCCTGAACCACGCATTGGTGTTCCGTATGTTTTTTTTTTTTTTGACTAACATCACTACCAAGTGGCAAACAAGCTCATTGTTATTTTACATAGTTGTTGTAGTCCTAGAGCAGCGATTTCTCTAGGATTTTAGAATGGGCCAAATAATAAATTTAACTACTTTTAGGTCGCATACATTTTTAATGGTAATGATTAAAAAATATAAAAATGTATAAATTGTATTTAAATTAATTATAATTATAAACATACAAACAACTCAGTTAATAAAAATTATTAAATTTATTAGAATAGTAAGATAATATAGATAAAAGTTATTCCATATAACATAAAATCTCAACCAAAAAATATGTACCTATGTATTTTATTTAATTAACACTATTTAATTTTAAATTTAAGATGTCATTTTGGTTTGAGTATGGAACGCACAAATGTCCTAGCGAAGGGCCGCGAAGTGGATCCTGCTGTCCTAGAGACTCTTTGTGAAAATATCATGTTTTTGGGGTGTGGATATTACGAAATCATAATTTACTTTATACTTCTAGTATTACTTATCAATTGTATGAAGTTATTACTTCATAGATTTTAATATTTGAAGTTTTAATAAACCATTCTGCACGGATTCTCACATGCATCCTATTATATAATGCATGTGTTCCCAAATTAAATAACATGTCCTTGTGTATATAATTTTATAACAATAACAGCATACAATAATTGTTTTTGTATTGTTAATGTTAACCCTCATATATGTAGTGTAATATCAATGAACGTATGTAAAAAGCCCTCATAATTCATCTTGTTCGATAGCATACAAACATTAACAACAAATTTAAATTATAATACATAATTTGTATTTCAAAACTAAAAAAATGAAAAAACTAAAATGATCTAATTATAATAATAATAATAATAATATATTATTGAATAAATACTCGAATATAAATATAAGAAGAAAACCTATACATTTAGTTTATAAAAATTATTTGGATATGTTAATATTATAAACTCTTGATTTAATGTAAATCAGTTGAATACCAATGCGTATAACAGTATTAATTTGTATTGTTTCAGATGGACTTGTATTTATGCACGCCTATTAAAATAGATCCAAGCAAGTCTTACTTTATAGGTAAGTGTATTCACACGATTGATTCATTAATTAAAACAGTAATTTATTTTTGTCCCTTACAAGTTATGAAAACGTATATCACTTATTCTTATGTATTGTACTTAGTTTTTTTAGATGGCTATTTTTTTTATTTATATCTAATAAACAATGTTACATTTGTATATTAAGAGATACCTAAAAAAAAAAAAAAAAAAAAATGAGTGGCTAAAAATCAATTTAGAACTTTTAATTATTGATTTAGTTGGTTTTAAGTATTTAAATTTACTTGTATAATACATTATTATGCCCATACTTGATAAATACGTATATAAATAAACCTATAAAAACATGGGAAATGCACGCGATGTTAGCACAATTGCACCCTCAAAAATATAACAATATATTTTGAAAATTGTGTTGCGTTTTATTATTTTAGTTGGTTTCGAGCCAAAAGCCTTCGGTCATACATCGCACCATATGTTGCTTTATGGCTGTTCAGAACCAGGAAGTGATGAGCCCGTTTGGTAAACATTTTTACTAATTCGTTTTATAAATTGATTCCAACCAGATTGCTTATTTTTATTTTTCTAGGAATTGCGGTGAAATGCAAATGGCTTCAAATAAACAGCATGCGTACATGCATTCCAACCCATGCAAAACTGGATCAAATGTTTGTACTCCTGTATTTAATACTAAAAGTAGTGCTATAATAGTAATAATATTACTCCACGGACTAAATCGATTTCCCATTAGGAATACGAGTACATTTTATTAGATTATTACGGTACCTTTATCAAATTAATTACTGGGTTGATTTGATTTATTGCGATATGTTGAAATGGTCTTGTGTTCGGTACGATTTGTTCCGATGAATTAAAAAGAATTATTATTCTTGTTAAATCGATTGATAGGTTATAGGACCGCGCTGACTGATTTATGTAAGGTAAAATGAAATGTTATTTATTGATATTACATTTTTTTTTAGTTTATAAAAATTTTACGTTATTTACACATGTAGTGACATATTATATTCCTACTTATGGATGACATCTATAAGATTTCCAATTAACAGAATGAAGCTGATTCAATGTAGGTGAAAAACAATCAAGCAAATAATAATATATACGTTAATCATTTTCGTTTCAATCACATTATAAATAAATTATTTTATTCGTGTATTACATTCATAGGTGTTAAAATATATACAATATGTTTTCAATATATTTTATTACCCAAGGATACGTAGTATGATCTAATTTTGTACGGAAAATTAAATAACAAAATATGTGATAAAAAATACATTAATCTTATACATCAATCAATCGATTTAACGATTAATCAGTATGCTTCATAATTTATGTCTAGTTTTACGATGTTGTGAAGGAAGGTGAGGGAGGTCACAAGGTAAAGAGGATAATCATGTAAACGTCATTTTTTCAATCAGAATACTTTACCCAGATATAATTTGAAAATGTGCTACTGTTAAAATGTAAAAATCTAACTTTTGCTTACAATGAGTGTTTGTTTTTTTGATCAGATACTTTACGCTTGGGCTCGCGATGCGCCTACGTTGAAACTTCCGGATGGCGTTGGTTTTAAAGTTGGAGGTGATTCACAAATCAATTATTTAGTCCTACAAGTTCATTACCATCGGTTGTTTGAAGGCTAGTATTAACAATATTTGGTTCTTGATAATGAAGTGCCTATTAAAATCAATTCGATTTGTTTACTTAACAGAAGACGAGACGGACAATTCCGGGATATTTTTGCACTACACAGAAAAACAGTAAGATACAATGTTTTTTTCTTATGAGCTTTTAGATATTTTTAGAACAATATCAACTTTAAAAGTATTTTTTTTAAACATCTCTATGAATTGTATAAAAACAATTGAGCTATGTTCATCGGGTAACAGTAGATAAATTATAATATAACAAACATGAAAGCAACGTGATAAAAACGCTGGTTTCAAAACAAAAAAGGCACCAAAATGCAAAATGATTATCTTAAAATTGATAATTTTAAAGTTATTTGTATCACTAATTATTTTATTTTATGAATTTCAAGTAGTGGCATAATGTGTTCCTTCTTTCTTTTTTTACTGGTCACATTAAAAAAGGCACTTTCAATATTTTTTACTTTTTGACTTTAGCGCTAGTTTTCCTTCGACCCTGTGCAGCATATAATACAATTTTTTTAACTACCGTTTTTCTTTAGATTGGCAAAACAAGCTGGCGTTTACTTACTTGCTACAAACGGACAAATCCCTCCGCATTCGATCGAACATATGGAAACGTCGTGCCCACTATATGAAACTGGAAAAATCATTCATCCGTTTGCGTATAGAGTTCACACTCATGAACTCGGTATGTGCACATACAGCAAAACTATGTATACATTTAAGGCTAAATATATCTAATGTTGTGAATGTTCAATATTTTTGTTTTATACACGTATAGGTAAAGTCGTAGCTGGTTACAGGGTGAGAACTAATAGTAACGGAGTACAAAAATGGGACCTGTTAGGAAAAAGGGATCCTTTGACGCCACAAATGTTTTACCCGATAGAGAATAACGTCACCGTCGAATTTGGAGACATACTGGTAAGTAGTATAGATTAATTTGTTAGAAAATTAGAATTTGAAAATGTAATAGTGTTTAGTTACAATACACATACTAATTTGTAAATTCATTGGTAGGAATTGCTTTTGAAATAATTGGATGCGAGAAAATTCGTTTTTAAAATTCTACTTTTAGTTCATACTCAGATTTTATACATAGTTTCAAATGAAAATACTTGAGTATATTTTTTCAAAAATAGAAACTAGTTCCCAAAATACCTATATAAAAAAAATTTGTTGCTTGGTGGTTTTTAAGTCATTTTTTCCTTGATCGTGATTTGTAATTTATATTTATAATGAATGATGTAAAAATGTATAACAATATTTAACCTATTTTTATTTTTAAATGTAAAACATTTAAAAAAATTACAACAAAATGAAAAGAAAAAAGCATATAAGTTAAAAATTAATAATGTATAATGTTACTTTTTTTTTCTAAAAATATCAAATATATATTTACCTTCTAGTTAATAATTTTGTGTAGTTATTTTTCTAGAAAAGCAACATAAGCATGACATTGAATAACTTACTTAACTTTTATCATTTTAGGAAACATTATATTGTTAAAGAATTCTCGTTTTATAGTATAATATGTTAACAAAAATACTATATTATTATGCTATACATAATTTTTGGTAATATTAGGATTTATAACAAAATAATTAAATATTTGTTTGATGTATTCTAGGCTGCCAGGTGTACAATGGAAAATACGAGAAACACCTACACAAGAATTGGGTAAGACTCGTTACGACTGAAATATATCAGTGCACACAATCATTTCGAATGACTCTTAAACAACATATTTTTATTTTATTTTTTCCACAGCGCTACGAGTGACGATGAAATGTGCAACTTTTACGTAATGTATTGGGTAGAAGGGACAGAACCTTTAGAACAACAACTATGCGTGTCCGAAGGGTCTCCTCGTTACTATTGGTACAATGATCAGTATTTGTCAAATATACCGGATAAAGAAGCTTCGGTATTATAATACCTATATAGACGAGTAAATATTATATAAATGTTTCTTTATGTTTGATTATTTATTTTTTTGATTGTAAAAAAAATATCATCTCGGTACCTTTGTGATATGTATCCTTTGCCATACAAATTCCTTTCTTTTATTCTCAAATAATATATAATCATTGTTATTATAATTATTATTATTATTATTATTATTATCATTATTTTTCGAGTAACTATTTATTATATTATAAAACATTGACCAAAGATAAGATAATCAATTTACTTGCATTTATCGTTTTAAATACGATACAGTGCATATCTTTGTACACGTTGAGTGATTTGGACAAAGTAATGTTGTGCGAATCGACTGCTATTGAGCGCATGACTAACCATAATAAATATGACAATTTATTATCATAAACTTAATTAATCCAGTCAATTATTTAAGTATATAATTAACTAAATCATATTTTATTATTATACATTTGTTTTATATTAGAATCGATTCAATTGTAACGATTGAACTTACACGAATTACACTACATATATATTATAATACTTACAGTGGTGTAATTTTTGGTTGCCAAGGGGCCATTTGCACCCTAGAATTTCACTGGGATGCAAATTTATCTTTTTGCTCCCACTCTCTCGCATTTAATTGGTCTTAAATACTTTAAAGATATATAAATGTTATATTTTTTCAAAAATCTCAGAAATACATTATTATTTCCCCTGCCCTTAAATATATTTTTATTTTATACAATATTGTAGGATTTTGAGGATGATGGGTGTTAGAATGCTTGACCCTACTGACTAGAAATTCGTCACAAATTAAAGAGAATCGTATTAGTTTTAGTTTTTTTTTCTAGTCAATTAAAGAAAACTGGTAGAGTTAGAGCTAGGTAACGTACAAGAAATATGAGGTAAATACATTTTTTCCCCGTCCTGAGTACAATGGTTCTTAATTAAGTCACTGAATATTTACATAAATATAATACGTCTAATCCTGCCTGCTTATTATAATTTTAAAATTAATTACATAATAGTTTTTTTATGGACTTCTGTTAAAATATTATGAATATTACAACGAAAACTATATAGAATTTTTTCCGTCCACTTTAAATTAATTTTTTGTTTACTTTCCAAATAGGAATTATTTATCTCAATAATGTTTTGGCAATAGTAATGCAACGTCAATGTTTTTAATCCAGAAGTATAAATAATATGAAAACAAAGATAAACCGATATGATTTATTTCAATGACATTCCAAAGCTGAATTCAATTAACATACAAGGTACTTACGAACAATAAAAATATTTTTTATAAGCAGACTATTTTATGTATAATTGAAAAAATTATAAATTTTATCCGAAGTTTGTTCTTATATAGTGCTATGATAAATATCCTATGAACGATAATACCTGTACCAAAGGAAAAATCTTGTAATTTTATACCTAATACAGAATGGACAAAAATTACAGGACCTAATTTATGTATTAATCCATATTACTGCTGTTGCTACTCACCGAGAAGAACGTTTAAACAAATATTTTTTTTTTTTATGTTTTCGTGGAACAATTATGAATTTCCCGAAAAAATATGCCATGCACTATACATTTATTTATTTTTTTTAAATGAGATTAGTTATAATGTTTACACTAACATTTATAAATAAAAATAATTTCAACATTATTTCAAAAATCCATTAAGTACTAATGGTATATCGATATTATTAAAAAAGATATATGAAAATCTACAATAAATAAAAATTTTGTAAGGGTGTGTAATTTATCCGAAATGTATACAGTTTTTCGTTGTTACCTAAAAGGCTAAAACAATTACACATCGATTATCAACCGGTTGATTTATTAAAAGTTGTAACTCTTGGAAATGTTCATTATCAAATTATGTTTATGATTCTTGTAACATCCAGTAAAAGTTTATTCTGTTTCAACATTCTTGCTCGATTTAGTAATATTCTTAGTCTTTAAAATTAAATTTTTTTTTTTTTGTTGGACCGTCTAAATGTTGGATAAATAGGGTGGGTACACAATTATAGCATCGTAACTAATGTCTTACATTTTGTAAACTTTCAATTATTTTTAAAAAAATTTTCCCAAATATTCGTGATTTTATAAAAATCAATACTTATCAAGCTTATCAATGTCAATTCCTGCATTACCTAACCTAATCGGGCTAATATTACTTGAAAACAATTTTTATTATAATATTTGTCTATAAAAACCGGTTCAAAAAAGATAAGTCACGTTAGAATAGTTGATAATTTTGTATATTGGTTTTTAATTAATGAATACAAAGCAAAATGGTATTTTTGTTTTATTTTAATAATATAAAAAAATGCTTTAACCCATATTAAATGAGAATGTATTAATTACTAGCAATGAATTGTATTTACTATGATCATTTATACATATTTTTTTCGATATTTACTGTCGACCAGAAGTACCTATCAATGGTTTCAAACAATTAAATATAAAAAAACTATTTGAAAAAATAAACTATTCTTTACAGGTTTAAGTATTATATACTTATTATCATAAACAACAAATCATTTATTTATATTAAAATAAATTGATAATTGATTATTATTATAAGTCAAAAATTATATTCCTACTCTGAAAATTTACTCGTAATTTTTATTAAGTAGAAAAATAATAATGAAAATGTAATTACTTATTATGTAGGTATTATAATTATTGGTGGCTAAGTTAAAATTTAAGTATTGGTATGTGATTAATGTAAGGGTAACATATTTCGATGGACTGACACTGCGAGTTATCAACTTTTGATTTATACTAAAAAAAAAATTATACCTAGTCTAATAAAAAATATATAAAATAAAATATTATTTTTGAATTAAAATTATTTGAATTGTATTTTTACTTAATAAATTAATTTATTGGAAACCAAATTAATCAATTTAGAAAATTTCAGATTTTAAAATAGTTATAGATACTTGGTAACTAGTATATAATTATTTTACAAATCATTTATTGAAATAATTATTTCTTAGATACTTTAAGTATACCATAAAATTATATAATTGATGCATGAAAATTAATTATTTTTAATTGAGGTAAAGTGTAAGTAAATTTGTAGCTAGTGAGTACTAGGACCTAGAAAAGTAATAATAATGCCACTACTTTGCTATTTAATTGAGTACATTTTTGTGTGACATTTGGTTTTATATTTGTTATTATCTAAATATAATTAAGTAATTATTATAGACTTGAAAAGTTCAAATGCATTATAGAAAAATATTTGCATATGATTAGATTAAATAGATTTTGATATATTATACATTAACAGATTTGTTAAAATCAAATAAAATTATATTATAGTATCATAAATATACATACTAAATTAATCATTTATATTTAAAACCATTAAGTATTAATTACGTGAAGCCGATTCGAATATTTTAATTTTTATTAAATTTTCCATGTATTAGAATAAACTAAGAAAATCTAGATTATAATAATATATATATACAAAAAAGAGACCTATTAAAGTTAATTTTTATTGTTGTACTCAATATATTTTTGTTTTTAATTATGTTTAAAACTTTATCATGTCATAGTCTATATATATATATATATATCATTGTTCTTTTTACGTGATGTTTTACTAATTACTATTTGTAGTATATAATATTTACTTAAATAGTTAGTGTATATCAATATTATTGTTAACTAAAAAAATTTAAACATTATTTTAATAGATGCTTTTAGTTAGAAATACATAGTATAATAAATCTAATGATATTTTGAATGTTGAGTTTATTGTTCTGTTTTACAGCTCATAACCCTAGAGGCGTATTAGTATGATGACTAGTGGTGGGCAGATGCGACTATTTGTTACTACTGAGTAATTATTTGACAAAATTTTGTCCATTACAACCAAACTTATATAAATAAATTAAATTAGTTAAATAATTTGATTAAAATTTGTTTAATAGTTTTATGTTATGACTAGCTGAATTACCCGTCGTTGCCGGGTTTAAGTATATAAATGTATGTAACCTGCCAAGATTAAATTTTGTTAAATCTATTGAAATTTAAATTAATTAAGATTTTTGAAATAATATTTTATACATATTAATTTAGTTTTTAAGATAATGATTATTATCATAACCTATTCGATAAGTTATAGCTTTTGGCGGCAGAAGCTTTGTTCACGATAAATTTTAGCACTAAAGGTTCAAAATAAATGTTTTACTAATAGTTTTTCAATATGTTATCTAAAAAACTTCTTTGTAGACAATGTTCTTCACTGATCTATTAGTAGGCGACAAAACCACCAAGCAACTGGGTGAGCTTACGCGTGAGCAAGCTACGTAGAACTGCCCATGTGAAAAACAGTTTTCTCGCAAATCTATTCCTGCAAATTTAAGAGTTTGGCCTTGAGACTTGTTTATAGTCATTGCAAAACAGACTTTCAGGGGAAACTGTAATCGTTTAAATTCGAACGGATGATCATTCGGAATTAAAGGGATTCGTGGTACAAACACAGTTTCCCCTTTTGCACATCCTGTTAAAATTGTGGCTTCTACTATATTGCGATGTAAAGCTTTGACTTTAAGCCTGGTCCCATTGCACAGTTTAGGCGGTTTCAAATTTCGCAACAACATAATAGGTGTGCCCACACGCAGAATAAGCCTATGTATGGCATGCCCGGTGGTTTCAATCAATTTAAAAATTCAACCGGATAATTAGTTGCATCGTCCATGTATCTATAGATACGGTGACCACCGTATCTATAGAAGTATATACTTTTTCTTCCCCTTCAAAATACATCAGCAGTGTTTCATTAATAGCCGCCGCTTGGTAATTTTTTGAAGTGAGTATAGCACGTTCACACAACCATTCCATAGGCTTATCATGAATATGAGCAACATCTGGATAAATTTTTGATATTAAATCCTGAACCGTAGTTACAACTGTACATAAATTTTCTAGGATAGTTATCATTTCATCAAACGATGGATAATCACCATTGCCAATTTTAAGTAAAAGATCTGAAAATCCACCAGAAAACTTTTCCTCTCCCAAGTGTACCCTCATATTTTTTGACAGTTTGAGTATATTAATCTTAGGCCATAAAGTAGATCTTTTAAGACATGACTTGACTTCATCAGTTCTGGTCCCTTTTGGTACTACTGGTAGAGTCTGCCTAAAGTCTCCAGCCAGTAAAACCGTTACACCACCCATTAACCTTTTATTTTCCCTTATATCCTTTAGAGATCTATTTAAAGCCTCAACACCACCCTTATGCGCTATTGTAATTTCGTCCTACACTATTAATTTTGTATCTTTTAAAACTTCCGCAAAATTACTTTGTTTTGATATATTACAAAAGGGAGTGGCCGAAGTTGTTGGATTGAGTGGTAATTTGAAGGTAGCATGGGCCGTTCGACCACCCTCGAGCAGTGTTGCTGCGATTCCAGAAGATGCTACAGCTAAGGCAATGTCGCGAGTACTTCTAACTTTCGCTAAAATCAAATTGATTAAGAAAGTTTTTCCAGTTCCACCTGGAGCATCTAAAAAGTATATTCGACCCTCATTATTATTAACACTTGTAATAATTTGATTGTAAGCAAACTTTTGTTCGTCATTCAGAGATTCTTCATTGTTTCTTACGACGTCTTCTAAGGCTACTAAGTCATAACTTGTTTCCTTGAGATACTCTCTATTATCAAATTGTTCACACTTGCTTGGCTGAGGTAAGCCATATTCTTTAAGTGGCTGACCACCTAATGCTAACACGGAATCTTCTATTACCGATAAGCATTTGTTCAACGCTACGTCCGCTAAGTGTTCTGCATCCACGGAATCCTGTCATTCTAATCGTATTTTAAAATCTTCAGATAGGTATTCTTTGAATTTGTCCCAAAGATATAAGGGATCTGTTACTTGGCAGAACACTAATATAATCGTTAATAGATTCCGTATCATATGAGGAGATTGGCAAAGTGCTGCCTCTTCTAGTGCTGCGTACAAATGTTCATCATCTTCAAGTAACCCTAGAGCCTTACACGTGGATTTAAAAGTGGGATATACTTGACCATTTACAGTTTTCAACGCTTCAAACGAAATCGGGCCCCGGATTTCATGGAGAAGTATACGAAGGTGATAACATTCTGTATTGTTTGGATGAACCGTATAAACTCTACCCAGAGCGTGCTCTCTTTTGATATTTGGCCAGCCAACAATGTTTACTCCTCTTTTCCTTCTTTGGAACTTTTTTTTGTCCCAAACGTAATATGCAGGTACTTCTGGGTGAAGCAAATTTTTTGCAAAGTCATCCACTTTACACAAATCAAAAAATGAGAGAAGTGTAGTTGTAGGAGGACTATTCACTCTGTCATGTAGGTTTTGTTCATTAAAGTAAACCCTTTGTTCATTTTCTAAATGGACAGCAAGGTGAACAACGGTAGGGAAACGCTCATGAATTGGAAATTCAAGGATTCGCCACACGGCTTCTGATGAACTTATATATCGTCCACTTTCGTAAGTTTTTATTTCGTCTTTCTCATTTTCTAAGGCAAATAAAGCCTGACCCGAGCCCTTATTTACGTATTTGCACACATATTTTATGGACTTCACCGAACTGCAATATTCCACATTGACGTGAGCGTTACATGTTCTTAATAGTACTGGATTATAAGGAACTATCCAACGATTATCTATATCTACGCCTTTGATATTGACGGAAAATCCACCGTCATCGGTTGAACGTCTCTTGTACTTCGGATAACCGTCATCACCAGTTTGAGTTTCCTTAATGAGATTCTTGGGGTAATGTTTACTGCACGCGTTATCTTTCATACATGGTGAATTTCGATTAAAACAGCCACAAGGGCCATGAATCATATTACATTTAACGATTTCGTGAAGCTGAGGGTCACGTATGGGATCGGGTATTTCAGCACAAATAACATTGTCGATTTGATCCAGAGTAATGTGATGCTGAAGCCATAAAAGAATATGAATATGTGGTAGACCTCTCTTTTGCCATTCTGTTGAATACATATAGCATCTCACTTCTCCGAATATTTTACCTTTTGTCAATAAGTTCATGGTCTTTTTGACTTTTAACCGAAACACTCTTGCAATCATATCATGTCGATCATATGATCTTTGACCGGGAAGTAAGAGCTCTTTTATCTCGTCCCAGCGAGGATTACATGTAAAAGTAATAAAAAGGTCAGGACGACCGTAATGTCTAACGTAGGTCATAGCATCTTGTGTTCTTTCGTGCATGTACCTTGGCCCACCAGTAAAAGTTGACGGGAGTATAACCATTTGGCCTAACTGATTAGCTTCTATGTCTCGTCGTCCAATCGCATCTTTTAAATGAATATAACTATCTGCACGCAATTTGGCTTGGTTGTTTTTGATGTAATTTAGTCTTTCAGTTTCAATTTTGGTGTATTCATCTACCAAATATTGACTGAAAAGAGAACGATAATTAACTAAATAGTTGTCTTCTCCTTCTCTGACCATTATTCTATATGAGTAAAAACTTGATGCAGAGGCAGTTTTTTTAAGCGGTAACTTGGTTTTTGGATCGCGTTGTGGTATATTGATTGCATACCCATCATCCCCCCAACAAAATATTAAAGGATACTGCAGTGCGTCGTATGCTCGATGTATCTCACTGATACGGTGAAGTGGGTTACTTCGGTTTTCGAGGATGATGTCTCTTCGATCAAACTGCTGATCTACTAACACTAAAGCAACTTCATTTGCCGTTGGTGCATTATACCTGCCTCTATGTTCTTCTGGTGGTTTTTTATCTGCATGTATTACAACTTTAAATGACTCTGAAGGAGGTATTTTATCGGTGGTAAATTGTAATGATCAATTGTAAATTATGCGGTGGCTTTTTGATTGAATCGAAATCGTTCGCTATCTATCTTTATATATATTTCGATCATGAATTGTTGACAAAGCTTATGCATCGTAAAATAACTTAGTCCTGATCGCGTCTAATCATCAACCGATATGCATAATAATTTTTTGAACTAACATTCTTATTTGTTTTGGCACCTGTTGCGGGATCTTTTTGTTTAATATTTATGCAATACCCGTCATTTACTACCAAAAATAAAATTAATAGTTTTTAAATAGTTTTTAATAGTTTTTTAATATTTTTTTAATAGTTTTATTTAATATTATCGACCTGGTCAAAAAATATTAAACAGATTTCAACCCTTTAAATTCAAAATTTCGAAAAATCCTTTCTTAACGCACGTCTACATCATAATAGCTATCTGTATGCCAAATTTCAGCCAGATCTGTCCAATGGTTTGAGCTGTGCGTTGATAGCTTTCAATCAGCTTACTGTTTTATATATACAGAAGAAGATATTATTTTTATAATTATATTTAATAGTTATAATTTAATTGTCCAAATAGTGTTAAAACAGTTTTTGATTTACAATTTTATTGTATAATTTATATATTATATTTTTAATAAAGTTTATGCTAAAGTTAGTTATAACTTTTAATATTATTAAAATTAGTCAAAAATGGTATATTTAGATAATGGTTAATCAAATAAAAATTAGTCGAAATAAAATTAATCAAATACAAATCAGTCCAATAAAATATTAGTCAAATGAATAATTATAACACATAGAGTAACTAAATTAGTCACACGGTACAACAGACTAAGTCGGTAGGAATTAGAAACTTCTGCCCATCACTAGATACAACTCATAGACATTATAAATATTACAAAATTATAGATGAGTAAACTTGAAATTAAAACTATTTAAAATGAAAAATAGTATGCATATTGTGTACTTTGGATCTCAAATGTATTAATAGTAAAAAATGATTTAAATATTGGAAAAATACCTTAATTTGATTTCCATATATTACTCAAAACCATTTATTATTTATAGTTAATAAAGTATATGTTGGTTACTAACTGCAATAAATACAATAAAATATCAATATAAAATATTAAATAGTTATTTAAAGTTTATGAACAAATTCAGAGATGCACTTATAAAAGAATTTATAACAATAATAATAAAAATAATATATATTAAAATGAATGAAGCATAATATTAAAAAACTAAATATTTACAACATAATACATCCCTAGAAGAATTTATTATCAAGGTTATATACTAGTATTTTAAACTTATGTCATTGTACATAAAATTATGGTTAGTTATTTTATCATAACAAACAAATACTATAACTAAAATTCATTATCAAAAATTAAAAAACCATATAAAATTGAATGTACATATATTTATATCACAAAATCTTATCATAATTAAAATGTTAATAATATTATAATGTATACCTTTGTTGTTAAAAATCTAACATTTCTAACAATTTAACAATCAGCTGGTTTTGATTCCTAAAAAAAAAGAAGTAAATAAATTATTTTAATTAATTTTTTATAGCTTTAGATATTGTTTAATGTAATATTGGTAAGATAAATGAAAATAATTATACACAAAAAAAGTATCAACAACTATTTCTATTATGATAAATTTTATTATGTTCTGGAGTAAAGTACCTATTAATTATTTGATAATATATTATATTGAATATAATAATATATATTAATGAATACATTTTATTCAATATAAAATAAACATATATTAGTATTACAAATGTATTAATAGAATTTAAAAGTTTACAACTAATCAATAATAATCATATAAATACTCAATATAAAAATAATTATTTTTACAACCTATGATGAACACCATCTATTGTACAAAGCAATTTTTTTGTACAAATTTTAATATAAAATTTTTACTTGAAATTTCCTTTAAAATATAATTCATATTTATAGAAGTATTCAGTGGTGGATCTAGAAATTTTTTTTTGGGCACTAAGTTTTAAAAAACATTTATTATACCAAAATTAAAAAAAAAAAAAAAAAAAAAACTACAATAAACTAAAATAGAATAAAATACCAAATTGAAGTCATAATTATATATTACAAATACGATTATTCCATGGTTAGAATTGTATGGTTGGTGTCATTCCATCAATTAGATTATTACATATATTATATTGGTAATAAGATTAAATTTATTCCCAAAATAATTGCATTACAATGTAATACAATTTAACATAATAAGACTCCAGATTAAGCATTTATTTATTTATTTTTATATAAACTTACGAATATTAACCATTTATTAATTTTTAATTTTAATTAAATTTTTTTTATTGTAACTATTATAAAACTAACTGAAGTTCTAGGCCAATGGAAGGGAGAACAAGGCCCCCCCATAAATCTGCCACTAAAAGTATTAACTAATATAATTTATTATTTGATTATAAATGTATTTAGAATTACCTAATTATAATGAAGTTAAAAAGTTACAGTTACAATTATAGTAATTGATTAATTTATGTTATAAAATGTTTTTATTAAAATGAAATTTATGTTTATACCAAAATAGAATTTAAATTATATAACTAATTATTATAATAGATGTATTTTAAAGTACTTACGGATGGAAAATAACTGCAAGCAACACTCCAAAAATTTTTCAGCACAGAAGCTTGTCTAGGTTGTTCCTAAAACCAAATAATCAAAATGTTTAAAATAAGTTAACATAATTTCTAAGAAATATGATTAAATTACATGATTGATTGTTATTGTCGGAATGAATGAAACTCTAGGCCATAATTTGTCTGTGGCTTCACCATTCTGTTTTAATAACTGTTCACCTTCTTTACTTTCTGAACAAGCATTAATCTTATTCCAATTCACATTGAATTTTTCAGCACACTAAAAAGAAATAAACACGAGAATAAATTATAAATCCTATTAAATATAATATCCTAGTTGTTTAGTGTAATACTAACATCAATTCCAATCTTTTTTGGTTCATAATTATTATCAATCATGCAGGATATATATTTTATAAGTACACTTTTCTCTTTAATATGTCGAGTAGCACACGAATGAATTTTATTAGCTTGGCATTCAACTGGTCCATGTTGACAATCAAACGTTATAGAGCCATCAGAATTTTCATGAATCTAAAAATAAATATGTAAACACAATTATTACAGGTGAGTAATAATTGGCTAGGTACGCAATTTTGATTAAGTAACATGAATTGATTTTTTTAACCGAAGGTTACAACAAATAATTATTGAAATTATTACCTTAGCTTTACCATATGGAATAAACTCAATGTCAAAACTGCCTGGAGCTTTATTGAAAGATGGGAGCAAGTGTTGAAGTATAAAGTTTCTAGAGTCTGGACACAGAGCCTCGTAGTAAATGCCAACTGGAAGATAGTATGCTATTTCGTTTTTACCGTCTTTCGTCAACGAGTTATCGTAGTACCGAACAGGTAACGGATTAGATAATTTCTGAAAAAAACAAACACAATTACACAAAATCAGTAAGATTGTTTAAAAAAAAGATAACCCCAAATGGAACTAATAGGTTGAAAAATTTGATGCTGTTGGGGCAGAAAGAACGAGTTCAATGAATTGAAATAAACAACAGGAACGCAATAATAGCATTTTTTTCAGAAAGCAAGTAAGAGAGAGGACTTCGGTGAGGTGGAAAACGCTTCCGATCATGTTGGTCGGTAGCGGTGACGCTGCGCAAATTTACGACAGCTGGAAATTACAGCTCGGGACGGTCGAAAAGGGAAAACGATTCGGTTTACCTGCGCGTTGTTGATGTCGATGACGGTCCTGAACAGTTGCCAGACGACCAGCACGGCTAGAAACGCCAGGCACACGCGGACCCGGGTCGACGAGAACAACCTGCGGACCCTCGAACCGTTCGGGTACATGGTCGCACGGTCTGCTCACCAACGGTGGTCCGTGCTGCGGGCAACCCGTGCGGCGGTCATGGCGGGCGGCAACGTGTACAAGGAGCACGTACGACGATCGTCGTCTGGGCGAGTACTGCGCGGCCGTACACGTGTCGCGTCGGGTCCGGCCACCGGGCGGCAACAAGGGACGGCTTGGCGAACGGGTGAGGGGGCCGCGCAGTGGGATTTCACGGAAATTTTCGCGACGCCAACGTTCACGCATTTCGCCGCGCCGTTATCGCGACGTCGCAACCGCATGCCGTTTTCGGGGGGAGGGGGCGTACCATGTGATAACGGCCGCGACGATGTGCAGTGTCGCCGCGCGTCGCGCGCACGGTTCGATCACGAACGTTTTGACGTGTAGCCCGCGCGGTGTGCAAGCTTGCGCGGAGCGTAGCCCTGACCGGTTACAAGGGGGGAGGGACATGTTACCGAGAGAAAATCGCAGAGGCGCGAGCTTCCAACGCGTTTCGTTTATTACGTCTTAATTTTTTTCGTCAACGATTGGAATCATTTGTGAAAAAGATACTGATTAAAATTGCATTTGTTTCGGAGCTACGATGACATACGCGAAATTAGCTCACTCCCACCCCCGACTACGACCATTCGAATCCGGAATTAAGTATCCTCATATATAGTAACCTTTTTGGTTGCTAATTGTAACCGACGTCAATTTGTAACCAAACATTTTCCGTGAAAACTCAATTTATATATACTAACATTTTATTAATTTATTATATCGATTGCGCAATTCTTTGAAAGTACTTTGAAAGTTCGAAACTCCTGCAAATGCTGAATAACATGTTGATTTCATTCAAAAATAAATTATGTGTAAGTACTTCACTTATGGTTTATCATTTGCTACTGACTTACAAGACTTTTCTTTTACCTGACAAAATTAATATTTTTCTCGTAGGAAAAGCTAGAGTTTAATACTCGCATGGAATTTCGTCAAATTCTCCAATTTTATTTATTTACATTTTATACAATCGACATTTAAAACATAACATTTTTTTAGATAGCGTTTTAAACTTGTTATCAATTATTATTTGCAATCTAAATAAAATTCAAAATGATTAACTAAAATAATATTTTAGCTACTTATATTTGTAATATACTTTAAGTTATATTGCTATGTACAGTTTTATTTTAAACAATTACATGAAATGTAAAAAAAATATTTGAACTGTATGGGTAAATTCTTAAATATTTATAAAATACCTAATAATGTACTATTATGGTTTTAAGAAACAAAAAAATTTAATTTTATTAAAACTATTTTTTTTTTTATAAAAAAGAAAAAGCATCTACGTAAACAAAAGAAAACGGTTCATGATTACTGTAGTATCGAAATAATGAACAATAAAAAGTAATGTTTTATTAGTGCTAAACTTGCGGTATTAAAACACATTAGGTTAATACGTCCATATTGATACATCGTTCACCGCAATAGGTTTTTTTTATATTTTATTTGTGTAGTTATTTTCCATTACATCACATAGTCCCGATGCCATTTAACGTCATCCATGCATGCAGTAATACAGTATATACACGTTACATGAACATATAATAGCTAAATATAATACTCGTAGAATCAATTACTCATTGACAAATTAAAATCGATTATCGTTATTTTACTATTTTCTTAAAACGGGACATTTTAGTATCCTGAAAATTTTCCTAGAGACAAGGAGAAAAAGATGTGAAAAACGGGACGTATAGTCACCTTATATATGCCTGTATGATCACACAGTAAATTTATTTTGTTGTATCAACTCATATTGACTTACTGCTAATATAATAAACAGGATAAATATAAATCTAAAACATTGACAAAAATATTATAAAGGACATAACACAACATTTTTACTGTAGTACACAACCAATATTGGTTGGGTGGAGTACGGGAGTATTTTATTTACGATATTATAGTCTGTGATTATGTCCATCAAGACGTAACGTAATGTCAAAAATACCCCCGTACACTACCCAACCATCAATATTTGTTGCCCAGTCCCCCAGAACATCCCTACTCTACTATATAACTATATTATCGAGTCTGCGATCTAAATATAACAAATATTATTCTAATAAATTGTAGTAAGATGAATATAGTGATGACATTTTGTTTTTTTCCTATTCACTCAAAGCGACTGAAAATAAAAAGTAATTTTCAAGATCCAAGGCTACTAAAATCTAGAGACGAAATTATAAAAAAAATGATCTCGAAAGTACATAGACCTAAATCTAGATATTGAAAAGATTTTAACTTAGAAGAATACCAGGTTAAATTTGAACTCGTTAATTATAAACGGAAATGTTGGAACACCATTACACATGGCGAAAAACAAATATTTAGTTCTTAGTACATTTCCAATGGATGAAGTAGTTGCCATAATAGCTATAGCATACATAGATTTTCAGTCGTATAGAAACTGTAGATTCTAGTTAAAACCATATATTTAATTTCAATTAAAAAATAGCCCTATATGGTTCAATAACGAATACCGATAAAGAACGGTTAATTATACTGAAAAACATTTAAAAATAATATATGCACGTTGTAATATATCATTTATTGTGACGAGTACTAAACTACTAAAATACATTCCATCTGCAATTGAAAATATACCATGTTTAGATTATAACTCTATAGATAAGCACAAACCAATTGCTAATATGGCCATTATTCTGCGCTATACTGTGACAATGGATTCAAAGATATACAAGAAGCTTCAACTAACTACCTACTTTTCATTACAAATCTATAATTGTGGACATTGTGGTGGATCAATTTCACCAACTAAAATACTAATGAATCATATTTTTATCGAAACAAATATGTATCAGAATTATCGTATGGTTTTTCTCTTAGAATTTTCAGTAATACGATGAGCGTTTTATTGTTGAATACTCGATTTTTTGAATTAATCAATTGATTTTGTCATTATTTAACTTTTAGTCTGAATATTAGAATATTTTTCTGAAAATGTTAATACAACAATTATTTTATAATAAGTCGACTCGATTATATTGTATACATAACGTAATTAATGCAGCAGTAGTGTTTATCACTGGAATTCAATCATTTTAATATACAAAAGTTCATAAATAATAATTATTCTTTGGTTCGGTGTTCATAAACTTTTCTGTGTCAAAAAATTAAAAAAAAAAAACCTTGAAAACTATTATAATAAAATTTTTTTAAAAAAAAAAACAGTATAATACATAACCATGTATTTTTGTTCGACAAAACGGTGTGTGCAGTAAGATCGCGCACGAAACCGTAGGAAATTGTTTTCGTCGGAAACGTACAAGTCGACAGGTAGGTAAATTGTGCGGTTCCGACGTCGATAAAATCGCAATGTGCAAATTAACGAAAAAAGCAAACAAATAACAGACGATGCGATGCGCCAGATAAGGACCAACGACGACGGCAATTCATCCGTTTTGGTCGTGGCAAGTGCTGTTGCATCCAATTGCAACATTGCACCGGGAACCGGCAAGAGACTCGTCCGCGGATGAAGTGGCGCGCGTGGTACCTCCGGCCGGCGCAGTCTCTTCGTGGACTTCGGCCCAAACGCATCGGGCGCGTGCTACTCCGCCGCCATCACTGTCGATCACCGTCTTGATTCCAACGAACGTGACCGAATATTTTATGCCTCAGAACACCGTAAGTATTGGTCATCTCATTGTTGAAAACTTAACGTTTCACGTAACGATCGTAACATAACAGTAATACACCGGTAGGTACCACCGGCACAGTTCAACGGTTTCGTGTCGAGCAGATCGGTCGACCGAACCAGACTTACAACTTTACGCGCGTACGATAAATGTATTACAAACGGTACGGTGTTATTCGGTTTTACCGTGGAATTTTTCCATTTTTTCGCGCGCTCGCGGGGGACAATCCACGTTGTGTGTTAATAACGATAACAGTACACGAATAATACACAATACGATACGTAATCCAACGACGACGAAATTCAAGTAATCCTGCGGTGGCACGAGGACTCCGGGCACCTGTCCTTGAACTGTTGTTCCATTGCCCGCTCGCAGCCGTAGTCTTTCACTTTTGCCGACCGGATTAATAATATAATGTGCCACTCGTTAGCGTTGCTCAACGCACCTCAGGTTTTTACCGCAATCCGGGTCACCGCCTCGTCGCAGTGACATAACTTCTCGATCCACGCGATCCATTTGGTCCTGCGCCGCGCGTGCGTATATCACTAATGAACGCGTTATTTATGTCTACACGAAAAGGTTGTGATTGGGGGCAACTTTTTTGCACCCCTGCGGTCGTTGCGATTCGTTTGCTGTTATACCGTACGGTGTTTGATATAACATCGTAGATTTATAGGTTATACCGATCGATTATTGCGAACATTGTGCACTATTGAAATACAGGCATGCCGCACGTGGGGCCTTGGCGTAATGTTATATCAGCTATATTGTGATAATATTCGAACCGTAATTTGTAGTTAATTCGACTAATGACGATTGCGCATTTAGCGGTGTATCGCTACCGATTCCGCATACGGTTGAAACAGCAATAATAATATGGTTCGTTACGTTTTTGCTGTGTCAAAGGACTATTGCGAGCTGGTTTAGGTGCTATTCATTTTGTACTTGTCTTTTATTTTTATTAATTTTTTTTAAAATTCATTAAGCGTATCTATTAAGATATTATCAGTGCTTCGAGTTAAAATACATGATTTCCAAGTATTTTACAAATGGTACGGTCTGGAGTGAGTACTAGCTAAATAATTTTCTGGCTTCTATGCGTATAAAAACTATATAGTAAGAGTAGCAACTATTTTTTTAATTATATAGTGTACCTATAATGATATTCAATGGGTTAAGGACATCGTTAGTTAAAAAATATATTTCTACATGAATATATATACATCATATATGAATTACTAAGGTAAAAATATAATTTTAAGGTAATCGTAGGTATCTATTCATAAATCTGTTATTGGGGATTGAGGTTGTTTCCATTATGTTTACTCATATACTAGTAAAATATAGCGTTCTCTTGCTGTTATCGTTTTTTTCCTTTTGCGCTCCACACAATATAAACGTGAATGATCTAAGTGCGATTATAATACATGACAAGAAACCTTGAATGAAAAAAGTTAATCAAAAAGATTTCAATAGTTGACTGATTTTGAGAAGATTATACTTTAGGATTCAATTTAGTTTAAACTTTTAGTAAAATACAATTAACCGAATATATTTCCTAACAAATCAAAAATGGTTTGCATACTATTAAATTAATATCGGTTAAATGATAATTTTTAGTTATTATTATAGTTTTGTTTTAAATCTCATGATCTATCCAAAACTGAAATATAGAATAAACGCTGAATCAGTATCAGGAAGTATTCGCGCCGAGATGTTTAGAGTACAATTAAAATTATTTTTGTTAAAAACAAAATTAATTAAATATTTGAATTCTATTAAGTTGTAGTGATTACTATATGGTCAGAAATGTATTATATCATTGCTATTATAACCTATAATATTTGTGTACCTATTTCTCAGACTCTTGCGGAACATGGCTTATTGGTGGTTGCTACAATCAGCAATGTGGTATACCGCTATTATGGTGCTGACTAATCCTCTGATGCCAACTTTAGTCATGGACGTGTTGCCCAAGCTTCCATTGCTTATCATACGCCGTTTAGGTACCATTCCCATTGAATCTATTTAATCGGATCCCAAACCATCCGTCCCGTCAAAATCATGAGTTCAACACGTATAAACAGTGACAGGAAGTCGACTCGACGGCCTTCTGACTGGTTTGTTTCTATGCGAAAGACGGTGCCGTTGAAAACACATTGCAAGCGAACAGTGTCCGATCGACGACCCGAGTAAATACAGATTGAGTACAATTATGAAAATGAAGGTATGGTCAAGCACACAATTAAATAGCTAATTTATAATATTTTAAGTGTAATTTATTTGGATTTTATTAATTCAATTATCTTTAAGTAGGGAGTAACAATTTTTATGTAATTTTCATCCGTGTATAATTTACTAGTCGTAAACTATTGACTCGCTTGTTTCTATGAAATAACATGATGCTCTCGGTCATGTCAAAACGCAATTACAAAATATTTGAGCAAATATCACGGTTCATTTTTACAAAATCTAACGCAACGGATTAACCGAAAAAGATTAATTTTTAACGTGAACACTGCGCATAATATTTTAAAGTTTATTTTATTTTAAATGTTCATTGTTCATTATTCTAATATTATTTATATTCATAACTATCATTGCATAAAAACTAAATATTTATTTTGAACTTTTCGACATTAACAAATTAAATTATCCATATATTACGTGGCATGTTTCGTGTGTTAACAATGCTAAATATGTCAATCATGTTGTAATTTAAGCTTCTAGATCTATAAATATTTATGAAAAAAATTTACTTTTAGTTAATTTAAATATTAAAATGTAGATGTAAAAACATTAAAATAATTATTACAAATAAACGTAAACTCTTAGGTATAAAAAAAAATAATAAGCTAAAAATTGAAAAAAATTGCAATCATCAGTTTATATGTAAAAAAAAATGTATTTAATGTATATTCGAATTACCATAGTTGAAATATTAATTGTTTGGATTTAGTAAATAAGAAAAATATTTTGTTTCAAATTTATACGGAAGTATAAAGAATAAGTTGATTTTTAATTTAAATTTTACGTGTCTAAATTGTTTCGATAAATTATTAAAAAAATATAATTCATTAGTAGCTTATGATAGGAAATACATTTTCAGTGTATATAATGCAATGATGAATATTGGCTATATGAAAAGTGTTCATATAGAACAATATTCAGATTAATTAGTTAATTCAGTGAAACATTATTTCTATTGTTGAAATACAATTGAAATAAATTGTCATTTTAACTTCAATAATATTTCTATTTTTGAACTTATTAAAAGGATCTACACATATAATATACGTAATTCAAAACAAATATTTATGTTATGACAGGTATTTGCCAATAAATTAAGGTATTTATTAGTGTTATTTATATTTCCTGTATCGAAAGATTTATTATAAGTATGATGATATTACAAACAACTTTACTATCTTCAAGGACTTAAAATCTGTCTAGTCACTATAGAATGCTGTGATGAAAATAAGACTTATTAGTTAACTAAAACGCTTGGGGTAGGTATATTATACGTATATTTGCTTAGTAGTGTTATCTCATTATTACTAAAGGCGGGTATCTAAAATGTGTGGGAAACAAGTTTCAAGGACTTTAAGTATTTAAATGTACTTCCTGTGTTCGGTTCACAGCTCTTTCTTTTATTGGTAGTTTTATTAGTAATTAATGATAACAGTCCAATTTAGATTAATATTGTATTTAAATATATATAAATAAAATGTCAAATATTTGAAAAACGAATTAAAACACTTACAAACCTAATTATAATGAACAATTTTGTATCATATTCTATAAAGTGACGGGATCCTAGATTTATTCAGAGCCAATGTCCTATCTTATAATATTTAAGTGGGGGTAATATTTAAGTGGTTCAGTTTTCAATGATTGTCAGCTAGTAATTTAATTATTGTGAATTATAAACAAAATATAAACAAACCCGGTTGGTAATCAACTCATTTCAGTGGCGTAATTTGATCATGTCTGTGGGGGGGGAGGGTAAAATGTTTGCACATTTCACTTAATATCCCCTTCCTCTGCAATTTTTTTTAATTATATAAGCAACTCTCAGTTTTAGTATATAACCATTGTGATTTGTATACATTAAAATAATTTATAATTTATAACATAATATATAGATACTCACATTTACATTTAAACATTAGCTTTATTGATATTTGATACCTACTACCTAGATACAGTTACGAGTTAAATCACAAATTTAATCACAATAAAAGATCCACTCTACGTGGTTTTAATGCTAATTAATTAAGAACTTCTTCAGTGTCAATTTTAACATTTTTATGAACAGCCAACATAGCAAGACCATTTAATGGATTCTGTGGAATAAAAAAGTAAAGCATTATTTAATCTCTATCACGGAAAGTATACAATAAAAAATATTAAATATATTTTAATTAAAATTCAAACCTCAGACATTGTGTTTCTTAAATATGTTTTCACTCTTTTCAGAGTTGAAAACATACGTCCAGACGATGATGTAGACACTGGTAAAGTGCATAGCATTTTTAGGAGAAAATAAATATTGGGGTAGATATTTTTATTACAAATATCTAGAGCCCGAAGCCAGTATTAGGTATTTTTCCAGATCGTTGTATCTTGGTACACCACAGTTTTAATTCAATCAAAGAATCATTAGACACCTTGGGAGAATAAAATTTGATTAATTCAGTAAATTAATTTTCATCTTTTTCAGTAAGCTCATGTTTAGAAAATAAGCATTCAAATTCAATAGAATGATTAAATCAAATATTCAAATAATTAAAATGTTAAGAAATTTACAAATGAAAATGCAAAGAAGTTCTAAATGTATAGTTAAATACAATGGAAATACTAAAATTGTTCAAAAATGCTGATAGTTATAAATGTTGTCAACAATTTCAAAATTAGTAAAAGTAAGATTTCATGTTGAATTATAATTTTAAATTTTAAATTATTATACAAGTGTTTATAATTCTAGTTAGTTAAATACATATTTAATACACGTAAAAGAAAATATGAATAACAATGAATATTTCAATTGAACTATTGGAATTCATAGAACCTATTAGTAATGATATGGCGTCACATTCGTGACAGACTAATAGCATTATGACATTTAAGTATTAAGTCAGTTGTAATTTCATTTTGCATATTCTGTATATTCGTGTTCTTATAAGACTATATATTTTTCTTATGTTAGTAAAATAAATTTAATACTGAATCATATAAAACTAGATAAAATAATTTCCTATCTACGCTACAATACCATATTTTAATTAATAATATATAATGATTTTAAGTAATATTAAATTAAGTTAATATTCACAGATTATTCTAAAAATGTGTGCCTATTTAAAAATTTGTGGTTATTGTCACACACATTAAAAACATTCAAATACCATGTGAAATTAAAAAAAAATTATATTTTCGATCCATTATGTATTGAATAGGTTAATTTCTTAAATGGAAATCAATTTATCAATTCATTGTGTTTTAACTTGGTTATAAAATTATTAAAAAAAATTATTAAAAATATTAATACCAGTGGCGTATTTTAAAAAATATTGCAGGTGAGTTTAAAATTTTTCTAAAAAATAAGTGATTTTATAATATAATAAAAAAAAACATATAAGGTATGAAATAATAATTATACTATTTAATTATTATTATAAATACAAATAAAGAGTTATTTACAACCACATGATGTAATTAATGTTATCTTTCTCTGTACCTTCGTAGAAAATCATGTATGACTTTTGAACTTTTTTTCTTCGGGGAAGGGGTGGAGGGGGTTGAAACTAGAGACCCCTCTCCTGAAAATACGTCATTGATTAATACAATTTGACGTTAAGTTCAAGTAAACCGATTTAATGAGGAAAATTGTATTATCATCATAATAGACAAAATACAAAATATTATAAATGTGTATACTATATATAGTCGTATAATGATATATTATTTAGCGTATATATAATTCTAGTCTAGTAAAACAACAATTTTCAAAAAAATAAAAGAATAAAAAAAAACAATAATCACGTAAATGAAGAAAATGGATTATTTACATTGTATTGTGATTTGCGACTAAATAAGTACACTGTACAAACTGCAAACTCTGAAGGTTAAAAATAATGTTGTATTTCTATCTATATAATATTGTTCAGTCGTAATGTTTGTCATCCAATAGTAGAGGCATAGGGTCAGTCAATGTAATACATGAACCATTCTAAGGTTTTTAATTTTAATTGTTATGTTTCGTATTTAATCTAATAATTAGATTAAATACAATTATTGTGATAAAAACTATTCAAATTGTGTTATAGTAGTGTTAGTAGTGTAGTAGTGTTAAAATAGTGCGATAGACATTTCATGAGATCCGTTGATTGAGTATAGACGTTCACATTATTAATTTAAATTATAGTTTGTCTGTAATTTTAATTTTTTTTTTTGTTTTTGGCATTTGGAATACGATTTAAAGAAATTGGACATTGAGTCATATTTTTACCGGAATAGGTTAATTGTAAGTAATTTAATTATTTTACACATTAAACTCGTGGAGTGAAAACAAGTAATTATCTTTAAAATTTTTGTGAAATTTTCAATTGTATGAATAACTTTAACGTGAGGATATGTTTATTATTAGTTATTTAATTTTTTTTTTTTATCACGTATTAAATTATAATTTTAATTAGGTATACATCAGTATTTTTGTTGAAAAAATAATTTAATTAAAATTTTAACTAGAACGATATTTAACTATCAAATAAATATAAAATATGTTTAAATAATAATTGAAAATAGTAAATAAATATAAATGTATATAAACATAGTTTTATTAATATTAATATATGTATTTATTTTAACTAAAAAAAAAAAAAAAAAATGCACAATAAATTTTTACTACTATATAATATAACGTATCCTCTTTAAGAAAATTACTATAAATACTTTTTTATACACACTAATTAATCAAATAGTCAATTTTACAATATATAGATGAAAATAATTTGATATAATCTAAATCTATGCAATATTGAACAAATCAATTAAAATATTTTTGTCTAATCATTAAAATAATTCTTGAAATTATTATATTTATCACATTATATAGGTAGTTTAATGAAACTAAGTTTTGAAAGCAGATAATAACTAAAAAAGTAATCACAGTAGAGATTAGTAGTTATATTTTATACTTATTATTATTCATTTATTCTACCTATGAATTAATATTATTACTATGTTAAATTCGACTTTAATATTTTTCCTACATAGTAATTGTTATTTTTTCATCAGTCAAAAAATAAAGAAAGAATATTAATTTATTGTATATAACAACAAACAAAATACGACTATACAGTTTTAATATTTATTAAGCTCTTAGATTCTAGTTACCTATATGTTTTGTTTCATTACTTCATAATTGTATTATTGAAGTATGTAGTTTAATATTTAGAAATAGTTTGTTACTCGTACCGTCAAATGGAACACAATGTTTCAACATAATTAAGCAAAGCAGAATTATATAATGTTTTTACGATTGCAATATTTTAATTACATTTTTCGTATTTTATTTAGGTATTTATTTTTTAAGATGGTGAATGTTCTAAGTTAGCTTTAATTAACATTTCTCCAGTATTCATTTTATAGATACTTAATTATTTAAAGGTCCCACGTATATTTTCTTATAGTTATCGTGTTATTGAAGAGTGAGTGAAAAAACAATTTTTTTAATTTCGGGTATAATTATTTAAACAAATATATAAATATACTTTTGATCTTTATTTCTAATAGTTTGACAAATATCAATTTTGGTTTTTGTTACTTGTAGTTTTTTTTTTTTTATTTTAAATTAATTTCTTATTTATCATTGTAATTTCTTTACGACACAAAATAAATTTTAGTAAAAATACTAACAAATTCGATGAATATAAATCCTTAGTGTAATTTAAATTTAAATAGATATAATAATATTATAATAATTTATAATTTTAGTAATGCTTTGTGAATACATTTCCGTTGATCGATATTATTCTTCGTTCAAGCCAAATTTGAATTAATTAAAAAAATCAGTTTAACAACTTTTAATACAATATTTTTCATGTTCTATGGTTAATAATAATGATAAATTACTGTATAGTCCAGTTATTATTATTCGATTGTTACATCATTATATTCTATGATTAATTCATTTTAAAAAACACATACATAACCATAATTATGTATAGGAGTCCAAAAATAAATGTATTTACAATAAACATTTTCTTTAAATAATACCGAATAATTTCTCAAATTTCTTGTATCATATTGATTCAGCTCAATGGCTTTAAAAATAACACTGTAAATTACAATTCTAATGCAGCTGGTTTATAAAATTGCAATACTAATTATTGTAATAAGCCTTAAAAAATACAAAATTAATATTTTCAATTATACTAAAGTGTAATAATTCGACCTCAATTATCATAAACATGTTTAAAGTAATCTATGTCGAGCAGTTTTAATCAGACAAGTGATGAAAGGATTTTTACTAAATTAATTTTCACCTTTACTGCGAATTGCATGGTTTGGTTAACTTTATTTGAAACAAGTATATATTTTATAGGTATGTACGTGTTTATTATACAATATAAATATTGAGACATGCTGTAATTATATTTCGAACGATATAATAATGGATTTTTGTATTTTCTTAAGAAGTACTTTAATGTGTTTTTGTTTGTCTACTTTTCATGTTTGAGTACTTCATTTCGTTTACATCGTTAAACTGAGATACATTAAAATAAAATATTTCTTTGAATTTATGGTTTATATACTATTGATAAAATATTATTTTGTTTATTTTTATAAATAATGTTTATTGCAGTGAATGTAACGTTTTAAAATCTGCCTTTTGTTTGAATTTTGTGAACACCTATACGCCTGTTAAAATAACTATTATTTTTTTATATTATTCAACTACGAGTATATAGTTTTGTATTTTTAAATTTTTTTTATCTTCATTATCCTCGTTTTCAATTTATTTACAAAACATTTACAAAAAAAAAAAAAAAAATGCTAATTGAAAATATTCTAGAAAAGTGAAGTGTACCTATGAATTATAATCTGCGATTCGATAACATTTGGCTTGCAGGTAATTCAAATAAATAATGTGGTGTTATTAAACTATCTATAACGAGATTTTCAAAAATCACGCGTGCTAAATTATGCGTGTGTATGTGTGTATGACTAATTTTTGCGAATATATGATTAATGTTTAAACGAATCTGACGCATGTGTGTAATATAAATTGCCGTAATACTAATTTGTTATGTGAGATACGTACACAAGACGGCCTCACAGAAATGCAAATAACATAACGTGGAGGCCATTAACACGATTTTCAAACGAATCTATCATTGATAAATATGTGTTACTTAATATAATATCAAAACAGTAGTCTGTAGAATTCCTGAATTATAAGGCAATAACCGGGTGCCTGTATACAATTTGTCTTGGAAAAACGGTACTTTTATGGTCTGGAATTTTAAAACAATTATAATCGTTGTTCTGCATATATAATTTCTACGTAAAACATATGACCATATTAAACAAATGTTGTTATTATAATCAGTAGTGAAAACAAAATTCATAATTAATCTTACATTGCTACAGTGCAAACTATAAATTTACGTATGTAGTGTGAACTAATGTGAGGTTTATGTCATTATTTCGTGATAAAAAGATAAAAAATGTAATCTATAATTTTATTATAGTCTAGGCACGAAAAAATAATTTTACAGTAAAAAATCTAATATCTATCATAAGAGTTTATATTTAGTATAATATGTTATCGTCATGATAAATGTTTTAATTTCCTTACTAATATAAATAAAAAATAATTTTTCGAGTAATAAAATTGATCTAAATATTTCATGCTGCCAATTGTGCACGACCTAGTATACCTACTCGTATGACAAAGAATATTTAAACATTAAACATTTGATTTTTAGATTTGATCAATAATTTTAGTGATTACAGTGAAAATTAATATATTTTTTTAATATTATTATTATTTAGTACAATTTATTTTTAATATTTATTCTTCAAATTACTGAGATTTCGAAGGATAAAGTAGGAAAATCGATCTCCAGTAAGCAGGTGAATTCAATTATAGTTTCGAATTTTCACACTAGAATCTTATAGAACAATTATTGGTACACCGGAAAAAAATATGCCAAAGTAATAATGTTACGTATATGCAGACTGAAAACCTTAATATCAAGTTCTATAAATAGTTTTTAAATATTTTCCTTCTCCTTCAACTCATTAACCAATATTAAGAAACATTATTACCATCATTTTTTTTTGTTATTCTCCTTTTAATACGTCTTTTAAAAAGATGCGTTTCGATCTAATAATATTTATATATATATTAATTTTTATATAAAAGAATACTGGATCTATGAATATGGTCGACCATTATAGTGTTCTATAATTCGGTCATCCGCTAACCACACTGTGTTTTTATCGTGTTTAAATCCTATTCATACTTTGACGATAAACGCGATGCATCTATATCACCGTGTACGTTTAACAGGACTTGTTTTCTAGTCTCAAACACGTTTGCCGTTTACCGGTTAAGACGTGCAAAAGTATGAAAACCGATGAAACCTAAGGTTTACAAAACGGATAGATCCGACCCGGATGATTCTTGCAGTACAGACTTTTAAAAACGATATTTGGTTAATCGTAACACAAACGATCCAAGGTTTCACCGGTATTCGTACTTTTACTACGTACGGGATGCAATCAGTGGTGTTCCCATGAGGTCTACTACTTATACGCCATATTCTTACATTATTTAGAAAACGCACGGGTATTCTACGGACAGCTTCTGTATGCTCTCAAATCTTAAGCACTTTGCGGAGAAGTATTAAATATAATTAGTTTTACAGGTTTTAATTTTTGACGGTCTTTGATGTGTTTACGATGATCTCAACCTATTTAAATAAATGTAATATCTATTTCCGTAAAAATTGTTAACGTATGCATTTAAAATGTTCGTTAATATTTACAACCCTTTCCACGTCTAATAAATAGCAAAAAGGTCCATATCTTGACATTTGTCGGCTTAATATACTCTCAACAAAGTCGACGGATGCAATCGTATGGTGTTTATCAGTTCACTGGGTGTCATCGGTAACACGGGCCCACGAAGGCAATTGGAATAAAAACGCGCAAAACTTGTATACAACATTTTTCATAACTCATGCCATACTTACCGTTATTCGTTCACAGGTTGCTGGGACGCCGAAACGGGCCACCGTTGCGCTGGCAATGTTCGCGATGTTCACGGTACGGGCGGCCGCGGTTCAGCCGCACGTGATGTTCAAGGCGCCACGGGTGTACAACGCTCTGATCACCAGTGACCAGCAGCTGTTGCCGAGCCGGGCGGATCCGATCGTCGAGCCCGTGTTCCGTTCGTTCCAGTACATTTACGGCTGGCCCGGGGCGTACGCGGTCGTGCCGCCCGCGTGGCCGTCGAGCGGCCGCGACGTCGCTGCTGGCGCTCGGGCCGAAAACCCCGCGCGCACCGAAGCTACGGACGCCACGCGCACCGAAGACGACGACGGATGGCCGACCGCGGTGGTCAAGAACAACAAGCCGGCCGACGTCTCGGTGCCGGACGTGCCTCCGCCGCCGCTGCCGGTGTCCCGCGGTGGACAGAAGGACGGCAAGAAGAAACCGGAAGAGTTTCCGCCCGCGCCGGTCGGTTTCGCCATCTGAAACCTCGCGCCTCGGCTCGAATCTCGCCAACCGTCGCCGGAACCTCGCGGTGCCACGCGACGGTACCGCGCGGACCGATTCATCCGATGCCCTGGCGCGCTCAACGATCACCGAAAGTTGGTCATCCATCGTCCTTCGCCCAGTTACCCTCTGCTGACAACCCCTCAATCGTCGTCGTCGTTCGCGGCCGATCACCTACTCGTATCGAATTTATCGCGCCATTGTTCGTCCAAATGCAATATCTTGACGAGGCTCGTCATATCAAAATTTTATTTATTCCCCCTCTCATTCCTCATGCAATATTGAAACCGGACGGGTACGTGGTTCGGGATTTTCGAGCTGCGTAGCGTGCGCCAATACCAGTTCTAAAAACTTTTCGAACGTCCATCTCAACATTCGTTTAATTTTATACGCAACTAACTGATAATCAAAATAATCGTTGTAGTCATTTGCATCTAACTCGTTTTTGTTTTGTCATCTGTTTATTAGTGTTGTTGTGAACAAGCAAACTTTTATCAAACTGTTCAATTTAGATTTAAGTAAATATCGTTTAGGTTAAGCAAAAAGAGTGTATTTCACTAGTAATTTTTATGTGTTCCATCTTGGTCGATCATAATATGTAATAAGTTATGTTAATATTAAATATATGTATTATACTGTAAATTTTTTTTTTCAGAATTCCAAACGTTTAAGATTCATCAATTGTATAATTTGAACGAAAATGTCCTAAAAGGTTTTCGATTATATTGTCTAAATGAATCAAATAAAGTTAAAATTATTGATATAATAACTTTTAGATTTCAATTTATTTTCCTATCGAAAAATAAATTCCTTACCAATAATATTTGAGCGAGATTTCAATAATATTTATTCAATAGCGGCTTCAGGAAATTTTTTCAGTTCAGCCTAAAAAAAGGCTAACATATATTAGGGCAGACACAGTAGCACGATAGTTAAAAAATGGAGGGGATGACAGAGACCGGAATACCTTTAGTATAGATTCCCCAATTTTGATCATCCATATAAAAATACAGAATTTTTGTAATAAAAATTGTCTATTTAATCTCTTAAGGTCTTTGACCTTTCCCTCTTGAAAAATAGTGTTTGCGTCATAATCTTAGTGAATTTAAGGAGTTTCTGAAATCTAAATTGTAAGTGTTAAGCAGTGATGCCAAACACGTACTCCAGATGGTTCAATGAACTTTCTAGAAAATTGAAATGTTAAAAAAAAATAAAAATGATCATTAAAAAATTTAAATTAATTTTTTTTTTTTATTAATTGACAAGTATTTTATTTTTAAAATAGCATATTTAATAATTAAATATTATATAACATTTTTAATCAAAAAAAAAAAAAAAAAAAAAAACAGATGTTTCGGTATTTGAATGGGTAGTAAATCTAATTATTTGATATGGAAGTTTCAATTTTAATTATTAATTATTTAATATAAATAATTAATAATTTAATTATTAATAATTCAGTAGAAACTTTTTTTTTTATTAGCTACGTTAAAAAAATCGTTTATAGTTCGTGTAGACATATTGAGTAATTACTAATAACTAATATTTGAATATTAGTTATTAGTAATTACTAATTAGTATTAGTAATTTGAATATTTGTATTACAAATATGAAATATCTTTCCAAAAAGTAAGATGGCTAAAAAAAACAATATATATACAGATTTAAGGCACATAGACTTTGAAAATGTTGTCTTGATATAATATGTATACTATACGATTACGTTTTTATGAATGTTAATTATATTTTAACGTTCAAAAATCAATTTTGAATTTAATTAATATTAATAGTAAATAGTTTTAATTTTTAAATTTAAACTCAATGCTTACGATTATTAGTGTTGTAAGTATTGTATACTATACCATATATTAGTTTAATAAACAATAATATAACCGTACCTCAACTATTAAAAACTTTTCATGGAAATTTATATTTGTATTCTCTCTCTATATTTTAATATTAATCATTTAAGACCATGATATTTGTAATGTTTAAAATACCATGAACAGTATTTTATTTTGTTGGTCTGTAATATAATGTGCACCGACGCCAAGGATCTCTCTTTCCTTTTCTTTTGCTGACTTGTATTTAAATATATGCGTATAATTCTTATTGTCAACTTGAAGCATCAATGCATTAACTTTTCACTCGGTACAATTGATTCGAATAATAGTTTGTTCAAACCAAAAATTTGCTTACCTTTTTACAGGAATCTCTTAGTACAGATTCACCGATTGCTTATTGTACGCCTATTGAAGTATTTATGTATTGAATCATTTATTTTTCTGGTAAATAACGTAATAGATTAAGCCTTAAAAACTTAATATAAGTTCAAGTGTAATTGTTCAATAATTAGTTAAAATATTAAAATTGATAAAATTGTTAAAATTTATGGTTTAAAATCAAGTTTTTTAAAAAAAAATTTAAAACGATTTATATTTATTAAATATATACACGGTATATATTGCCATATATAAATATTAATTTTATTTATACAGCACAGACAAATAATTGATAAATTTTATTGATATAAAATAAATGTATAATTGGTAAATTCATTTATTATTTTAATGTTATAGTATTGAAACAACATTTGTAAAAAAAGAGTTTGAAAACAGTATTTGATTTTAATTACAGATACTCTTAAAAAGTATTAAATCTACTACGTTATTTTTTTTAAAACTATTTAAAATGTGTATTTGAATACTTTTATTCAAATACTTTTACTTATGTACTTAATTTATTCAGAGTGTTAACAACAATTTTACATCAATTTCAGTGTACAATATTTTACATTATCCACTATTGATTAATGTTAAAATGATTCGGATTATGTTGTAGTTTAATTTTTATAAGAGAAAAAATACAATTTTTTTAAAATGTATGATTTTTATTAATCTCATCTGGCTAATGTTGAATATATTTAAATTTAATTATTATTTTTATCATTATAAATCGTAAACAATTCACACTTATTGAAGTAGTTGGCCACAATAAATATAATTGAACAACTATATTGTTCGTTGGTTAATCTGTTGATAAATCGAATGTTTGATTATTACTGATTTTAAGACGTTTGAATTATATAATTCTACGACTTGTACGGATATTATAAAAAACTACCGAGATTTTTATAATATTCTTAATTGTTCAACAATTATATTCTTTTTCTGTAATATACCGAGCGGTGCTTTACTTTAACGCAATGGATTCCAGTAGCATGATTTATGAAGAATCTATTGTCATGAAATCATTGAAGAAAAATATGGCTATGTATTTCTTAAACACGATGAGGAAACGGACGATCGATGAACAGCTCAGTGATTTATCGACTATCATGAAATGTTCGTTGGATCTGATTATCGTGTACAATAAAACTGGATTGGAAGTCAGTTACCGTATTGGCTCACAAATCGCTTCGGTGAACGGTTTAGACGAAGCGGTACGTAAACTTAATATATAATTATCGAATAGTACAGGGATGGGCAATTCAAAGTAGGTAGAGGGTAATTTATATAATTTTAAAATCTGACGGACCAGCGTAATGAAAGCAAAATATAAAAAAAAAAGTCATTCAAATTGACAATCAGCATTTATTTTATATAGTTTAATTTTACGATTAAACCAATACAATACTTACCCAAAACCTACAACTATTTAAGCTATATAAATAAAGTACGCGGGCCGCCAGTTGCCCATCCCTTGTATAATGATTACCGAAACGGGTTTATGTCGGCTGTTTGTATTTTTCAATCTAATTAATTGTTTTCACTAGACATGCGTGCGCCAGTGCAAACGAGATGTTTTGTACAAGCTCCAAGTTTTTTGTGGCTACACCAATAACGCAGCACGGATTTCGTCATCGAACTGGCAAGCCCGAAGTGATAAGAGCTCCGAATCGAGTAGCGAGTCGCAAGACGTATACTCCGAGGTCAGTGAAATGATTACGATGCGTTTTAAAATATGTTACAATGTACTCACTGTTCTTAACTGTTCATTGTTTTGAACACACTCGTGTGCTTGCTCAGATCGAATTGTGCAAGAAACGAGTGGCTGGAAAAGCAGTGAGGAAAGCGTTCGACGAGAATATTGTACTGGTTGACCAACAGATGGATATCCCGAGTGAACTCGACGAATATATGACAAGTAATAAATTACCGTTGGTACTTACAGTCAGTTATTTACCAACGGAATGGAAAATAATCTTCGAATGCGGACCGTACAGTGCTTCGACCAATGGTTCCGTATATTCGGTAAGTGTCTTGAGTACATATCTTAATGGTAAACATGCTATAATTAATGTTTTACAACACTTGGATCGTATTCATTTCTATAGACGTGCATGCAGCAGTGCAAAACGCTACTGTGGCACGAATTAAAAGCGTTCGTCACTAACGAAATATTAGTTGCTCAAAAAGAGTTGATTAGTGAAAATCAACGATGTGATCCGCAGAGTCAAAACAAGATCAATGAGCCTACCGTTAAGTCGGTCGTTCAACCTTTGGAAACTACAAACCGCGCACCAATTTTAACGAAGTTACCCGTAACCGTATCCAATGAGCAGTCAATGAGATCTTGCAATGTCTTCGAACCGCACGAGGTAATTAGAAACCATCACGAGTGGCATGATGCATTGGATAATAGTTATACCAAATAAATGCAATTTATGTTAAGCTAATGCAAAAATACTATAGTAAATCATTACGCTATCACGAGCGTATAGTATTAGAAATAAAGTCACATTGAGTTGAATATAGTCGAGAAACAATACAGCTTTTTTATTGCTTTTATTTTACTCATATTGTGTCGGTAGTTATATGTATTTAGAAAACGACTTTACTTTGTTTTCAGAAATACGTCAGCGGAGTTTCCACGGTGTTGAAAAATGTCACGTGGCACAATTTTCGGGAAAGCGCCAAACGGTTTTTCGATGTAATCGTGCAAGCGGACCGCGCAAATGGATTAAACTTAAAGATGATCACGGATTGCGTAGTGTCAAATGTACAGTAGCATCGGGAACATATTTGCCGATTTTCCACGTTTAAATTAAATAACATTTATGCGTAATTATTTGTAACAAGGCTTTATTTAACGCTCCTTGTGCAGGCGATTGACCAACCCGATAACTGCGTCTTGTACGCGGCACTGTGTTGCCACGTGATCGAAAAAGCTTGTATGAACTCGAGGAGGATCATACGTCAAGGGCTGTCAAGCGAGTTCAAAATCGAGCTGATAAAGTCTTGTAAGGACGTGTTGATTGAAGCCGGTGTATTGCCCCGGATGAGAACGGCTAGACAGCCTGAGTACTCAAGGCGATTGGAAGAGAGGTTCGACGAAAAAGCTCGTGACCGTACGCATGGAACGTGCAGGTAAACATTATCGGGTCGGAAGTGTTGGACAATGGATTTAAATGTTCGAAAAAATATGAAAAAATTGTTAAAAAAAAAAAGAAACTGGTCTAAACGTTCATTATAAATGTTTTATTTTTTTTTTAATTCACCGGTGTACATCCTAACCTTGTGACATTCGGAAAAAAATACAATTTGCGTTGAAATCCCTTTTATTATAGCAATGTATGAAAATTATTTAATCGCTGTACGCAACGTGTTTCGCAGATTTATGGGTGAACTATTCATGCGGAACCAAATATTCAAGACCGTAATGAGTACCGTTGACACGTTTATGGAGATACACGACGCACATTCGTTGGAATGTCTCTGCATTTTGCTGACCATAATCGCACCAAAGCTTGAAAAAGTAATATAAATTATATAACATATATCATTGAAATCATAATATCACCCACAAATAACGATTCTGTTATTTTTTTGTTTTTATTCGCTGATTGTTGTTGAAATATTTTTTTTTTTTTTGTGTGTGCATAGTGCAAAACTTACGCACAGTATTGTAACGTATTATGATTATTGTCGTAGCCATGAACGTAAATAATAGTTTAAAAGGTCTCGAAGACGAAAAATCTGGAAGTTTTTTTCTTCCATTTAATACACATTAATTCCTTAGGTTTTTGGGAGAACTTGAGCACTATGCCCTCTTAACTCTCCCCACTCTATTTACATTCATGGGTCTCAGTACCTGTACAATACTATTACCGGACTAATTTCCGGTAAATTCTATCGTTTTGTGCTAAACTTGCATGAGTTGTTCTTGTATAGGTTATCGATGCCCCAAGACAAGTGTATAAACAACTGGAAAACTACTCGATCGCCGGATACGCGGGTAACATTATTCTGCCACGGCGAACAATACAAATGATCGACGTACTTCTGAACGTACGAAAATATAATACGAAAGGTTCGAATTCGTGGCAAGGCGATTTCGCTAGAGTAAAGACCAGAAAGTCCAGAAACAACCCTCGTCAGGAAGTGCAGTTGGTGGATCATCAGGCGAATCGCATCTCCGGCGAGATTTCGCGATACAGCCAAAACCGGCCATTCCATACAACGTCTGTGAAGCACCACGGGAAACACGTCACGTTCAACCCCGTGGTATCTATACTCTATTATCGTAACGATTAGTAGTAACGTATAAATACCCCCCTTTCTTTACACACCTCTTTACTTACACCTTCAGATATGTGTAATATTCATTGTATGACTTCAAATAATTAATAAATAAAAAAATAATATTATATTATATATTGGCACATTATGCCAATGCATGGAATCAAAAAAATTATGTCCAAATCGTACATAATAATAAAAATATAATAATTTAATAATAAAAATAAAACCTAAATAAAAAACACATAATGACATTAATGTAAAACAATAAAAAACAAAAAGATAAGAGACAATAAGGGAGCTCCGAGTGTATAGCATATCCCATCGAGATATTCCGATAGAAATATCTCTATAGATATTCATGGTAGATATTTATGATATTCAACAATGGATGCTATCTGAGATGACAACTAATAACTTCAAAATGAAAAAATATGAACTAGACATTAAACAAACTTTTACAAAAAGCCAACACAACTCTTCGAGTAACCTCTTACAGTAAGAAATAACTGATTTGAAAAAGGTTAGAACCGCTTATCGTTGTGTGACGGATGAGTTTGGATCTTCAAATATCTTGAATCAACTACCACTCTTTGTTTTCCTTTACGTAATACGTACATCAAACGAGGTATTATAAATATGTATCTAATAATATTGTATTAATATATAAATTAATTAATAAATAAAAGCTTAGCTTGGTGTATTATATTATATTTGTAAAGTATGACAGTTTCGAATTAAAATTGAGAATTTAACAATTTTCCCCAATGTATATTCATTCATATATTTTTTCATATTCATATTTAATTTTAATTATTTTATTAAATATTGTATTATTAAAGCATTATTTTGTAACGTTCAATGCTAATTATATTTAGACATCTAATATATTACCGGTACATTGCGGGTCGGCGTGCGATAAGGCGCTTATCCCACGCACCGGAGGTTTCTACCGATACATCGACCTCCTCTGTCGCTTATAGATTGATCGTGCCAACAAAAAAGCCATGGTATCGGCCGACGGAGTAAAGGCTCGACACTTCATTTTTGTCCGTTTCAGCAACATGACTGGTGAGTAGAGACCGTGTTGCTAGTTCGTCGAGTGGCGACACATGACGACATCACGTAGGGATGTGGTAATATTATTAAGTATTTATTATTTCACTGTGGCCAGTACTCTAACAAGATTATTGCATTATTATTATTCCGCTTGCCGGTAATCACTGGGTCGGAGCTGTGTGCTAGGGAAACATTTATTATTATTATAAGAAATTCACGGCACTTCGGCTTTCGGATCTGGGTCCGTGGTTGGCGAGCATGACCAATGTTTCCGGAAGCCACATGACTCTCGGTACAGGAGGAAAATGTAATGAGACGTCTTAATTTATTTCATGGCTAAAAAAATGTACAAAACAAATATTATTTATTTATTTATTTCCATAAGGACCTAAATCAATGGTGTACAAAGAATTATTTATGATATATATTATGTATACACAGAAATATTAAATTCCGGTGGTATTAAGAAATGAAGTAGACTACTGAGGAATGAATACTGATTCTGAGTATAAATATCTTAATTTATTTTAATGCAATCGTATACAATTATTTTAAGTGAAATATAGTATATTATATGGAAATTAAGTGGGTACTTGTAAAAAATTATGAACAGGACATACATATATATATATATTGATAGTTTCTACACAGTTGAAATAAAATTAAAATGAATTTGTTTATTTTGAAATCTTAAAACTAAACTTAGCTTATTAAATGAAATATAAACAAAGGAAAATGCGCATAATTACAGAAATTCAATGAATTTCATCTTTTCCTCCTTAATCTTAGACAAACTAATAAAAAAATATAAAGTATTTTCTATTTAAAATATATTTTGTGATTTACATTCAAACTGAAGAGTTACATCGTGATTTTTCGGTGTTTTTTTTTTACCCGAAAAAGTTTATATGAACGAAATACAATTTTAAAATTATTTCATACGTTATTTGCTTTATTTGGAATTTCAAAGATGACATTCTATTCTATTCTCTATTTCTTTTATCTAAACTTTAAATAGTTATAATAAATGTATAAGCCATTTATCTAATAGTTCTTATAACTATAACTCTTAAAAGACTTGAAAGTTAATTTTATTTTTTCTATAGTTAACCGAAAGATAGGATTTTCAAGAAAAACGTTTATGATGAATAATTTATACCTAAACATTTTAGATGTCTTTATTTTTTTCTTATTTAATAAATTAATTTACCTATTACTATTTATATGTTTGAATTTATTTAACTGATATAACAAAATATCCCATTAAAAAAAAAAAATAAAATTATTTGTCAGTTTCATATCACATGGATTCAATGTTGTTGCACGGAGCTCAGCCAAGGGAATATCCGACCTACCTCGTGATCAACGACGGTTGTCGATGTGATAGCAGGCTGTCCGATGCAGGGCTACCTTAATTTTTTAATTTTTTATTCCTTGGACCATTATGTATGATTGACAGACTGTTCTTTGACTTTTAACCTGTAACTTCGTGTTTTTTGCATTTTTTATTCTATTCGATGTGTTTTAAACATCCTAGTTTAATTATTATAATAAATTATACATTTTCAATAGTTTTTCAAATTGATATTTTATACAATGACTTCATGTGCTGTAAGATTTTGTTATAATAAATTATCAAAAACTAAAAATATTAAATACTTCAGATTTCCAACAGATCCATTGAGGTAAATACCCAATTATATTTAAAATTTTCATTTTCATAATAGAATATGTATTTGAAATATATAATTGTTACTTAAACACTACTTATTCAAAGGTGTAAACAATGGATTGAAAACTGTAAAATATACCATTTATTGAGAAAAGATCCTGCTGTTCTACAAAGAAGTTATAGAGTATGCAGTGTACATTTTGAAAATAAAATGTTTTTAAATCAAAATACAAAAAATCGTTTAACAGCAGATGCCTACCAACATTATTTAGCGATAAGATTTTATTTAAGAATTTATTATAATAAAAATGTATAATAAAGTTAAATATTCAACTAAAAAATTATAGATGAAATATTATTAAAGAAAGCCCTAGAAGAAAGAAAATGGAAAGAATTTGAGGTTAAAGTTGCAACTGCATCATGTTCCAACCCTATTCTTGTGCATCTATCCATCGATAATGATGCATACACAAGTCACATAGATGTATCTGAGAGCTCTTTAATTTAAAATATTTCAAAAGTCTCATCCAGTGATTCATCATGTCAAATTCCACTTCATCTTACTAACAAAATACCTAGAAAAATGAAACTTATGAATGAAATGCGTACTAAAAATCAAGAAATTAAAGAACATAAAAAAAAATTGATATCGAATAACAAGAACTATCACAAGGTAATACTATTTAACAAATGTTAACACTATGCAAAAAATATTCACCAAATAGTTTAAATTTAATTATTACTACTCTTGTTAATTGTAGAAGTAAAAAATTAACTGATTATAGGTACTGCAATGAATTTAAGCAATTAGCATTAACAATTTATTTTTTAGGTCCTAAGGTATATAGATTTTTACAATCCACTCTTGCTCTCCCTAATCCATGTAAACTAAAGCACATAATAAAACGTTGACGTTTTTTTATAAAATAAATCTGGATCTTAATGATTTTTTGTTTAATTTTTTTACTTTTTAAGACTCAACATTTTTTACCTGAATCATTAGAATGTGTGTTGTATGCAGATGAAATGTTAATAAAAAGTAATGTATATTATAATATAAGTAAGGACGAAATAATAGGCTTTAATGAAACAAACTATCGCAAGACATATGATCCTGTTAAATTTGTACTTGTCTTAATGATTATAGGTATTAATTTTAATTGGAAGCAATCGTTGTTTATTTCTTTATATCAAATAGCTGCACTGATTTTAATTTGCAGGACATAATTTTAACTAGTATTTTAAAGTTAAATAATATTAAAACTAGTATAAAAGCATTTATTAAAATGATGTGGGATCCAATTTCATATCTATCAAATACACTACAAGTTAAACCCGAACGGCCGTTTTTTTTAAGTAAACAATAATAAAATAGTGTATATATTTGATCCACCACATCTTTTAAAAACTACGAGAAATATGTTTTATCGACACAATTTTCAGTTCAATAATGAAATAATTGAAAAAAAAACAATTGGCTACTTTTTCAATGGAGATAATAAAAATAATATTCGTACTGCTCCAAAAATAACATATTTTCATATATTTCCTGAGCTTTTTGAGAAAATGAGGGTTTATTTGGTAGCTCAAATATTCAATGCAAGTGTTGCATCTGTTATGTTAATTTTCTTACAGTCAAACTTTTTACTGGATGCATCATTACTTATAATTAACTTTATTCAAAATATGGATACACTTTTTGACATATTTAATTCATCTAAAACTTCCGGCTTAAAATATTTCAATAGATCATTCAAAAATCCTAATGCACAAATAACACATCTAAAATTCATGGAAAATAATTTTAAACAATTATAAGTATTTGACAAAAAAGCAGATGTTGAAGTGACAAACCGAATGAAATTTATTAGAGGTTGGTTGATTTCAATTTCTGGTTTCTTTCAATTGTGAGAGTCACTAAAACTTAATATTACTGATGATAATTATATTCTGTATACAAATCGAATCAACCAGAATTATTTGGGAAATTTATATGGTACTTTTCGAAATCAATATAATGGTAATAATATTAATCCAACTCCCATACAATTTATCTGGTCATTTAAATAAAATTTTTGTTCAAGTTATTTTAGTTACTCTAATTATACAAACTCTATAGCAGATATAGATGAAATTTTATCTAAAATGAATAGTTCCTATCAATGACGAGAATATAAAAATATTATTTTCTGAAAAAAATCCATTTACATTAAAAAAAAAATGTAATATAAATTGATTCACCAGATTATAGAAATTTATCAATAGGTACCTAAAAAAAAAAATCATTTACCATGCCATACTATATCATACCATTTACCCTTAACCCGTTAACGTCACTGCCTTTATGTATAATATGGCAATGCGCAATAAACTCATCGTGTTGTGTGTGTGTCCAATACATGATATATATTTAGAGACTAATATTATTATGTCATTCAAGACAAAACTATTTGTGTGAGCACGCATATGAAAAAAAATAAATACAGATTAATAGAAACATGTGTATGCAGTATTTTTATTTAATACTTTCATTTGAAGTCAAAAATAATAATAATAATAATACATTTCAATAATTTATTGCGGTGTGTCTTCTGCACATGCAAACACACACGTATATATATATATATATATATATATATATATATATATATATATATATATATAGCATTGGAGACAGCGTACAACAGGTACTCTTTTCGAGAGATTATAATACAATATAATACATAAAAAAAGAGTCTTTCGTCTTAGGAGAAGACTATACGCGAATAGTTGAAAAGATCTGTAAGAATGACAGTATCGGTTAATGGAAGAAGAAGGATTTAAGGATTGTCAGAGAAGGGTTTTGTTATAATATAATAACGATGACGAAGGAAAAAATTTGTTATCATGCCGCAACGGTTGTAGTGGCGCTGTCGCTCACCGCTGCAGTTTCGGTGGTCGACGAGACGACAGCGTTGGTGACGGGGACGATGGTCGCGTCGGCAAGGGGTTGTGTAGCAGCCACGTTGGATGACGGCACATTGACCGAGCGGAAAACGGCCGCGTTGTTGCCGGTCACCAGTGCTGGGTAAGGCACGAACGACTGGGAGTACTTGAATACCTGGCTGTGCAACGGGTGGTCTTTTGACGAGATGGAAATGGGCGTTTGGCTCGATTGCAGAATCGTCTTGGTGATGGGGGTCAGCGACGGTGACCCTTCGACCAGGTAACCCTGACGGAATTGGCTACCAAAGTTGGAGAACGCGTCTTCCGGCGAGTACGTGGCCAGAGAAGCTTGAGAAGATAACGCAGACACCGACGGGTGACTATAAAACTTGAAAGTGTCCAGTGGCGAAGCGGTGTTGGATGGGTCGAACCTGAATAGAATAAACAAAAAATGGACGTGAACGACGAATTGTATTTAATAAATATGATTTTAATGTTTGGTTACCATTCGATGGATTAAGGATTCTTATATTATAGTTAGCAAAAAGAACTACTTAAGTATTATGCGAGACAATACGTAATAACATTTGTAGTTATATCAAAATATGTGCTATAAAACATCCTAAACTATGAGTCGATTGTGGTACATTCTTGAAAGGTCGTTTAATAAAGTGATTATAAAAAAAAATAGTTTTTTGCCAAGGTATCCAAATTTCAGATCTAAAAAGTTGTTTTTGAAAAATTTAAATAGTTACTTTGTTCGCTTTTTAAAAATTTGACATTTCTTAATCGAAATGATTAAAAAAAGAGACATATAAGATTTATCTTATCTGTATCTGACTTCATAAATATTCGAGATGGTTTTATGTTCAATAATAAAAAAAAAAAAAAAAAAAAAAAAATTATAAATATTGTACACTTACAATAAAGGCAGCTGTCCGTTGAAAGGATCGTCTTGCAGAATTTCTACGGTGTTACTCTTCTTTGGCGCTTCTGGGACGTCACGGGATGCCGACTCACCACCAGTCGATTCCTTTTTCTCACTGTTCTCCACTTTCTCCACGCTTTCAACTTTTTCGACGTTTTCGGCCAAAGGAGTGCTGCTAACCGGCACACTGCTTTCTGTCGATACTGCCGGTTTGGCGCTAGCACTCTCGGTGTTTTTCACCGCCGCGTTCTCGCCTCCGACAACTTGGGTGGGTGATTGGAACGTGAGTGCGTCGCTACCGAAGTTTGCGGCAAACAACTTCAGCTCTTCATCCGATAACTTAGGTGCGTCGTAGTACGGCAAGTATTGGGGCTGTTGGAATCCAACAGACTGCCCGAAATACGGGATCCCGGACGATGCGAACAATCCCAGAGTTGACGGGTCAGACGAGGGTGGCAAAGTTCCATAAAACTCGTTTGGCAGACCCGGAAGGTTTACTAGAACGAAGAAAAGTTGATTATTTAAAGTGAATTATTTCAGTTCAGATTTGTTTTTAATTCGAAAAAAAAAAATTGTCACGAGGGACTTTGGATATAGATGACTGTTAGTGCCAATAAAAATATTGTAATATTGCAATACTGTCATGGCAGTACAAAAACACTGTTTTTCCGATTTTGCATTATGAGTACATAGACAGCGAACCATTAAGTAAAACACTATTTTACAACTCGAAACGGTTTATTCATATTATGCGACATCTTAATTTATTTTGGTAATCGTTTTTTTCGTTTGATTTAAATTTGCATGGTGAAAATTGGAAATACACAAGGCTGGGTATTAATGAGTTAAAACGTTAAAGTTAAGTTAAAAAATTAATTTAATTTTAACTTTTTTTAACTTAACTAGTTACTTTTGGAATTTCATTAACTATTAACTTATTAAATTTATTTCTTAATTAATGTGAAAAACGAATTAATTTTTCATTTTAAGAAATAAGTGTAGTTAATTTCTTTTTGTTTTTAATTTTTTATGTTTCACAAATATCAGTAAATATTTTCTAATAAAATGTTTTATGTTATAAATTAATTATATCAAATATCAATAATAATATAGACATATAGTACCTATATAGTTTATGGCTAAATATGGTATATTATTGTTATCGACGTGCGACGTTGTAATTTCGGAAAAAAATAAATACCAACACTAAAGTCTAAAAATAAGCAAAAATAATAACTAATCATCAATTCTACGATTTTGTGCATTATGGGCCTGAAATTTTATCAGTATTCAGTTGTAAAATCAACAGTAACAGTATGTTTTGAAATGACCCTCCTCTTAAAGTTCAATGAAGTTGAATAATTGTTTTAATTATTATTATATATTTATTATTATTTTGAATGCAGTAATTTCAATTATGAACAATTTTTGCGTAATAGTAAAATTTTTATTTGATTTAACAAAATAAATGTAATTTTTTAGTATTAAGATTATGATATTAAGGTTTATACTTATAGTTTAAGTATATCTATACGAATAAATGTACCTATATGTTAAAATATTATCCAAATATTACAACTTATTATATTTTCATTTCATATAAATTTAAGTTAGTTTGTATATAATGGGTATAAACTATAAATATATAATTATTAAATTATAAAAATTTCAATGAAATACGATACACTATGTGGAAATACTGTATTTTTATAAAGTATAATAAACACTATAGTCATAGTCTATAAATTAGTTTTGGGCTTGTAAAAAATAAATTTAGCGTTGTATAAAAATATTATAAATATTTATTTTAACTTAATAAAAAGTTTTAAAAAAATGTGTATTAACTTTTAACTTAACTGAGTTAATTTATAAAAAAAATTTAACTTTTAACTTTTTGTTAGTGTTGCAAATTAACTTAACTTTACTGAATGGAAAAAAAATCATTAACTTGCCCAGCTTGGAAATACATAAAATGAAAACAATCATATCTATTCATCTGATCTACAATGAATTCGCAGTATATTAGAACACTATGATGCATTAAAATGAATCAAATTCATTATGTGGTGGTGTGATCAAAAATTGAAAGAAAAATACCGAACCAGGTGTTGTATTTTTATTTTTGCAACCGAACAATAACATTAAAGTTTTTCAATCGTAAGCAAACAATACTCGCAAACGGTACATTGGCCTCCGAAGTGGGAAACACACTCGAGGTGATTTTGTTATGAATTATACAAGACAGCTTAAACGTCATTGATTAATTTTCTGCGAGTCATTGAACGTTATCGGTCAATTCTCGTGTTTATTTATTTATTTTAACGATTTCATCACAACGCAAATAAGCTTATAGTTTTACGGGAATTGGGTTAAGTCAAACTCGAAATTAAATTTTACGAAAGCAAAAATATTTCTTCACTTTATGTTATCGTTCCAAAATGGCACGGGAAAGTGAAATCATACCAAATGTTATAATAAAATAATTTATCTTAAATTGAGGTTTTCAAAATAATTTTAATTTGTACCATACAGTTTAACAAACTGCGAATATTAGTTTTTTTACGAAGCATTCCTCTTCAAAATACAATTATAATTTGTGATGTTTTTGATATTTTGTTGAATAAATAAAAATGGGTAAATTTTATTCGCACGAAAAACATATAATCTAATGAACTAAGGTCTATAAACATACAGTAGACTCTCTCTAATTCGGTCGTACGATAATCCAGTAGTATTTTATCTTAACATTTTGTCTTAAAAGCATCATTTGAAACAAAAAACAAAAAAAAATTTGATATATCTAATTTTTTCCTTGAAGTATACCATCAAAAGATTAATTTACAGTACGTCATAAATTAGTATGAATGTACGTATGTACCGTACCTATTGCTTATAAGTTTTCGTAAAATTAATTAAGGTTTTTTAATAATTAAAGATGCGTTTTTATGTGAAACTCCATTAATCCAGCGTTTTCGTTAATCCAACAATCCCCTGGTTTGATATTGTCGGATTATCAAGAGTCCACTGTAATTAATATTGCATTTCTTATAAAAAATTTAATTTTTTTATAATATAATTAAGACGAAGAGTAATTTTTAAAGAGTATTTAAAGATATGAATAATTTTAGTAATTTATTGATAAAACGATTGATGGAATGATGACCGCAGAATCAATAATATAAACAAATTGTTTAAATTTTGTTTTTGAGACTGAATACTTCGAAAAAAACAAAACAAAAATTGATGAAATGTATTATAAATAATAGTATGACCCGTGAAACTATTTAATAATATTTATAATCATTAGCTCTGACATGTTGAATCGATTTGAACTTTTTATTGAGACTATTTTTTTATTCACCATAGTACTTTTAAAATAATAGAATAATTGGAGAACACGAACAGTGTCATTAGATTAATTGGTTCTTTAACATTTATTGTAACTACTTAATATACTTTCCATATTTTCCATACATATACATTGGTTTTAAATATTATATCCAAAATCAACGCGATAAATGATTTTTAGCGTATAATAATATGTTTGGGTTTTTATTTATAAGTTGTAAAACATTGTGTAAACTTTATTGTCGATCTAAGATTCCTCTAAATAGTTTCATTGTTTATTATTGAGGATTTGGATTTTAAAACGACTTACCATTAGCTCCGGATTCGGTTGGTTTGTTTTCTGTGAGATTCTCTGTAACTGCTTCTTCGGACTTACTGTCGGTGATGTTGTCGGAACCGTTGACGGTGCTGTTTTCCGAGTCGCTGACAGTGGACGATTCGATGGCATCGTTGACGGGACTGGAAATTTCCGGGACGGGTTCGACTACTACGGGACTGGATCCTGCGAGTTGCGAGTTAGCCTCTTGAGCGGCCGGCTTGTCTTCTTGGACTTGTTCTTCAGTTACCGCAGAAATGGGTTCTGCAGAATTGATCACCTGAGTGGCCGGTTGTTCGTCGGCACTGGGTTCAGTGCCCTCCGTGGACGGGTTGAATTTTTGGCTTTGTTCTACGGTCGAGGGGCCACCGGCAGTGACCTCCTCCTGCGACGGGCTGGTGGGCTGCGGATCCGCTGCGGGTGTTGCCAATGGTTCGGTCGTGACCTCCGATGCTCGCGCTGTTGCCGATTCTTCAGAGGATGACGACGGGGCTGTTGCAGTGGTGACCGCAGCAGTGGCGGTGCTGCCGAATCTGAAATTGTTTCCGGGCACGATGTTGGGCAATATGCTGTTCACCGACTGCACGTCTTTGACCGAAGGCTGAAAATTGTACGAATGTAAAAATATAAAAAAGCTCAGTAACAGAACAAGTCCACTTTACGAGCATATCAAATTCTCGGGTTTTATACGTATTATACATTTTACATGTAATTTACCATAATATTTCTATAAACAATTTACCAAGAGTTTGGTAAAGTACATAATATGTTTCTGCGTAGAAACTCAAATAAAGAAATGTTTAAGTTAAACATTCATACTCTGATATTTAATGTTTTTTTTTATATATTGGCTTTTATGAATATATTTTAATATCAATACATTTACGATCGTAACTAAAGAACTGATAATTAAGGAGTGGATGGTCACAACGGGGATAGCAATAGCAGCTCTATATACTTATGTTGAGAAATGTAAAAGGACTAAAGCTACTTGAAAATAGCGAAGTCGATTTGTTTTCATCAACTATTGAATTAACGGATATAAAATTTAAGAAATGCGTAACGCACTCCTGTATATGTACACGATCGGAACAAGGTCAAAAGGTGTGTACGAATAACATAATTATATAAAAACAGTGAATTTCAACAATTTATATGGCCTATGATGATTTAAATAAAAGCAAGTGTTATCCGTGATGGTGTGCAGCTGAGATGGTAAATGTAAATACCGTATATACCGAATAACGACTGTAAAATATATTTTTCTTGGTCCGTTGCGTATAATATGATATAACTACGCGTTTCGATCGACTTACCGCCAATAAAACATTATATCGTACGCGTCGATTGGATACGAAACTTAATTAGTGAACCATACATTCACAATACGAACAGGATACAAACGCACACAATAAATATACACACCACGAAAAAGGTTCGGATGATAATGCATCCATTCGTACGGGAACTACACGTGTACTCGAATATAATATAGCAAGTCATTAACATCGTATACCTATTATTATAATTATTGTTGTTAAGCCCAACACTATAAAATGGTGTATTATATACGTACGAGTTATGAGGACGTCTGAATGGAATATTCTGTAATTTGACTATGAGTAGAACAAAATCGTACCGAAACTAATTATCCTAATTTCTAAATTATGGTTAGTACAGATTGATAGAACGGGTTGAACTGAACTGAATGCAAAGGAATCCGATTCTTGTATACAAGCAAAATATAAGGTCAGTTTTAAAGACTTAAAGTCAGATTTGAAATGTAAATGGAAAAGAAAATTGTTTCTAGTAAAACGAAAGCAATCACACATCTATTCAAATATCCAAACTAATATTCGACTAATTACCACAAAGTATCCATGTTGGTATATATATAAACTATTATTTTTATTTTTATAAAAATGAACTTCAAGAATTTAAGGAGTGATAAACTGTAATTTTTTAGTCGTTTGTATTTTACATAAGATTTGTATACCTCATATCATGATCATGTAAATGTGCTTACCTGGAATCGCGAAGAAAATGGTTGAATTGGTTGGTGAGTGGGGTGATTGAATATTGGCTGGGGTGCAAATCTAAAGGCAAGTTGTTCTTGGAGACCTAATGCGGGAAATGATGGTATAACTGGTTTGCCAAGTAATGAGTCTTTAGGTTTTGATTGTTTGATGTTGTGTTCAGCGGGCACAGTGGCGAAAGAAAACTCAGGTCCGTGGTATGCGCCGAATTTGTGTTCTTGGAAGTATTTGCCGGGATGATTGAAGTTTGGAAATTTATTAAATTTTTCTGCTGACCTCACTTTGTCTAATTCGAACGTTTTGTGGACTGCTGCAGATGGTAAGAATGGTTGGAAACCGAAAGGCTTGGCATTAGGATCATCGATACGATAAGGTGATTGGGGATAAACGGACGGTATTTGACCGGGATAGACCACAGGTCCTGGATAACCTGGGAATGGCCCGAATGGTTGATAGTTCGTCCTGAATGGACCTGGTTGGTATTGTTGATAAGATTGTTTGAATGGCTCAAATGATCCGAAAGGTTTTGTTCCTAAACCAAACGCCGGCTTGACTTGCTCTCCAAACCGAGGCTGTAGAAAAATTATGATCATCATGAGTAAGGTCACGTAAAAAATAATCAATATTTACATTACTTTGATGTTAAGTGGTGAAAACGGTGTTGACTTAAATTTGCTTTGTTGCGATGGATCTAATCCAGAGAATTCAAATGTATTACCGTAGTTCGCTACACTTAGGATGGCCAATCCAAACACAATGGTAAACTGAAAAAAAAATGTAAGCAAAAATTTGTTAATTCTCATTTGAAATTTTTTTTTTTTGCGAGAATTTTAATAGTTATTAATATTTATTCATAAGTAAACACTAAACATATTAATGATTTTCTTAATGTACTGAGTATCGTACTATACCTAAGTATACCTGATTCATATGTCAGAATTTATGTTAGTTATATTGTAACTCATAGGATACTCATTTTATTTAATTATTTACTAATAGTATACAATATATCTGTACACTTAAGGAAAATACAATTTCAATTTTTATGATTCCATTCCATTGATTTAATATTTTATGTAGGTATGATAAATTTTATCATTTCAAAGGTAATAGAATAAATTTAAAAATATTTTCTTTAATTTAAGAATAAAAATTTATAATCTAATTTTAACAAATTCAATGATTTTATTATTCGGTTTTTTATAAAATAAAGAAATAAAATATAATATTTTATGTTCAACTAACTTAGAAACGATGAACAATTCTTGTGCATAATTATAACGTTAAATTAATGGAAAATAGTTCTTAGAATTGTCAACAAAATGGTTTAAAACTTATAGCTTAAAACATTAAATACATTGAAATCAATCATTACATCAATGTTATTATTCTTATAATCAATTTTATTGGTCATCATTTATATATAAATAATAACTTTGGAAAATGTTCAACTTCCTTAAATATAATTATGTTTAATTAGGTATATATTTAGATATATTTCAATGTATACCATAAATGAATATAGTAAAATTAACATGAATGAGTTAATGCAACAGGTATGAACATTGTTAAGAACGTTATTCTGATAATACTTAATATTAAACCATTAATGACTTGGATAATGAATTACTTTGCAAAATTTAATTTTATTGTAATATTACTGGTGTTACAAAACCAACGGTCTATGGTAAAAAGAGATATTATACACGGTACGTATATATATAGTATGTTTAAAATTTCTCACGAATGTTAGTCTTACAGTATAACTATGTATATATATATATCATCCTATGTATATAATTGGTTCCAAACCCGTTTAATTTTTAAATAAATATATATAATATAATATAAATGTCTTCATAAAATCACTTTATTTGTATACATATGGTCATAAATAAGTCAGTAACATAAATTTAAATTTATATATGTATAGTATACAATTATAAATATATATGAAAATAATTTAGTAGAATTGTTTGTTTCAAAATAGTTTGAGATGGTATTAAATAATATTCAAGGTTAAAACATTTATCGTTTTTACTCAAAAAATACATTTTTTATATAACCTATCAATAATTATAACCTAACAATATTTAGAACATTGTTGACATTATTTTACGAAATCGTGAGTAGTTTTTCTGGAAAAAAACGGGTCTGAATAATTATTTGATACTCTGATTTATCATTTCGCAGTTTGAATTATACAAAAATTAATATAATCAATCAATTTAATATTTATTTTCTTTAAAATTATGCTAGATTTCATAACGTTTAAGACAAAAGTATTCTCTAATATATTTTATATACTGTAAAATGTATTCTTAAAATATATTTTCGAACACTCATATGTGTTAGTATAAATGATAATAGGTTTGTTTTGTTTATTAAGAACAAATATTTCAATAATATTATCATCGTTGAATATACGAATAACCAATATAAATAAATACCTCATTATAATTGTATGTTTAGTATTAATATATTTGTACATATATGGAACATATTTTTTTATTTATAAAATTTTAAAACAAACACAACATTGTAATCGTTTCTTGTATGAGTTTCGCATGCATTACGTCAACTTTCAAAGTACCTTGTAGATGAATTAGTTAAAAAATATCGATTTATAAATCGACAATGAAGCGAAAGTTGTGAATATTTATCGTGTATCATTTGTCATACATAAATAATGAACCTTGTATGTATATTGGAATAAGAACAACCAAGAAGCATTTAACTGGGTTTTATTATAGATTTATTATAAATGTAATTATTAGCTCACCCTTCGTAATTATCAAGGTAATTTTGTAAGAAAAATGCTCTCTATAAGTAGACATTGGACATGACGTGATTACAGTGTGCAGGTTATGAACATGTTTCGTAATAGCATTAAGTTATAAATATTCTTAATGTAGAAAATTTAATTTTTCAAGCAAAAAAAATGCTTACTATACTAATTAATACTACTGAACTCTCATAACTTATAGGATTTTTATTTCATGATATAATAATTTTATTTTTTTATTTTAAACACTCAAATTAAGCAGTTTTATTTTAACTAATAAGAAAATCTGGTCATTACTCTTACAACTTAGTATTATACAATAGTTTATGAATTTGAACTTCTGCTATGCTGTCTGATTATTTGTATTTGTTAGTATTTCAGACATTTTCTTTTGTAACAATGCAATTGTGTAACCTTGATTATTTATTTTTTACCATTACTTGATAACTACTCCTACGGGAATTTTTTTTTTTCAGAAAATTAGAATGTTCTAACAAAAAGTGAATTGGTGGATTTTTTTTTATAATGTATTTACGTAATATAATATAAATTACATAAAAACGAAGAGAAAAAAATTGAAGATGATCACGACCGGTATGTAAATTTAGATCATTTTGACATTTATGTGAAAACATTCATAGGTTACTGTGTTAAATGTATTTCGGACAAGGATAAATAGTATTATAACATATTTGCCGATCAAACGAGTATATACAGACCATATGGTACGTCGACTAGGTAGGTATTATACATGCATACTTTGTTGTAGTAGGTGACCATTATAAATTTAAATGTTATTAAAACTAAACACTCGGGAAACCTTGGCCTTGATTGCCGGTAAATCTAAAATGCTTTGAAATGAAAGCAAAAACGATTTCGGAAACTTGGTAATCTCTATTCGACCAGTCGTGCCAAAACAATTCTTCGACGAACTACATCAATCGGATTTAACGGTTCTTAATACTTCCACCGTCACCCATTAAAAGTCATACGATTGTTATAGTGCTTATTATGCATTACACTACTCGTGTTTAAATTATGTCAGATCTAACACAAATGAAGTGTTATCGTTGATAAACCAACCGAATAACAATTTGCCAACAAGCGTTACAACACACTACTACTATATTAAAATATATTATGAATACTATTAAGCTTTTGTCGGATGTATATAATTATATCATGGACTAGTGGTGCCTAACCTGCAACCCGTTACAATTTTTTTATAATGAAACAAAATATTTAAAAAAAAAAGTATAATTATTATAAAATGCGATTTTTTTTTTTTTTAATTCATTAATTTTATTTGTTGTTCAAATAGAAATTTTATGATATAACCTGTGCACTTAAAAGAACATACTGATCAAATTAATGTGGACCTACAGCGTGTATCTCAATTTGTAATCTTTTCAGTAGTCAATAGAATATTTGAAAACAAATTCAATATGTACCTACATGTATATTGTATAGTTACTATGTGTAACAAAATAACATTATTAGATTAATATTGATATTATTCATATTTTATATTTGGTGGCCCACTTTAAGATAATTGTTTATCAAAGTAGCCCGCCAAGGAAAAAAAGTTAGACATTACTTTCGTGGACCAATAAATAAATAAAACATGTCATAATCATTTCTTGATTGACTATATAATAATGCATACAATTATAAGGTGATCAGAGGCGGAACTAAGAATGTTTATACTCGGGTAAAATGTTTTAATTACGCTCCATCATAATTAAGAATCAAATACTCTTCCCTATAACTTTGTTTCTAATAATTAGCAATTGTTTATATATAATCATAACTATTGAATTTTAAACATACTATCGGCAATAATGATAAAAATATCAAACTAGCAGTCAATAATAGATTGTATACTGCAAAAATTACACATTTTAAAATTGTATGCCCTGGGAGAATCCCTGTTTTCTTTTTCCTAATTCCACCCCTGAAGGTGATAAGGCTTAGTCTCTTTGTCGTTCACCCCCTCGCAATTGTTTTAACGAGATGCGTTCCTGTAGTCAACACGAAAAAACGGATAAACCCAGTGGCCTACTTCCAATATTTTATTTGTCGATTAATTACGGTTAATACGTAACCAAGTATGATTATAATAACACACCGTAGTTGTGAATGAACGTTTTAATAAGACGATCGTGACTGCAAATCGGAATCACCTTGTTGTCCGAAACGAAAGCATATAATATAAAAGAACTGACATACGACGAGGATGCACCTGAAACATTTGTCGAGTCGAACGTCTACGTAATACACCTTTGGCATGCATTTTATCCATGTCGGCTGCCATTTAAAAAACGCGCGAAAGTGATTTGCCAAAACCATCGAACGATTTATTTTCAAACTGTCTGTCATCGAGATGCCAACTTTAATTATTTAGCAACTCTTGAGAGTGGAAGAATACAACTAGTGCGAAGTAGTTTTTTTTTTTTTTTTTTGGCATAGCTTTTCATCAATACGTTTATTGCATTTCCGATGAGTGCATATGCTCATATCTTAGTGGATAATATTTGCCAAATCACACCATTCCCATTAAATATTTTTTTGTTTACTTGTGACACGTACACTCATTCACACACTTTACATAAGTTTTTTCTTTAAAAAAAACACAATATTTATTTATATTCGGACGTGACAATTGTACAACTGATCAACCCGTTTCAACTTGAAACTTTTAAAAAAGATAATTATATTTATTTTAAATTTTTTTATATTGCTAAATGAACAGTTATGAAATCATACATTTTGAAAATAATTAAAATGGGATGTAACACATTTATTTTTCGAAATAGTAAAAAAATTATCGCTGTAATTATATGCGTTTACTTTTTTTTGTGTAATTTATTCGGTACAAGTGTATTTTGAAAACGGTTGATTATTCAACAGGGGATCACATTAAACGATATAACTAAAGAAATTCTATTAACTATTGCTATAATGTCTTAAGATTGGTGTTATTCAAATATTCTTTTTAAGCATATCACTTCCCGGCCATATTTTATCCAGACTTCCTAAATCCGACCTCCATATGTCGGAGTGTAACAGTAGATGGCAATAATTCTTTGTTATAACGAGTCTTAATATTTATGAGAATTTAACGACTAGTTAAAAACACGTACAGATTAAGTCCATATTGATCACGCCACGAGCTATATTATTTTTTAAATTGCACAATTAATAGTAACGATAATTTTAAAGACTTAAAAGTAAACCAATTAATTATACATGTGGTTTGTCGAAAATTCTGTAACAAGCAATTGCTGAGCTCACGAATTTAACATCAATTTAGCTGTCCATATAAAATAGCGAAAAATAACAAAATTGTATTATTAACTTTTAATTATATTCCATTATATTATATTTCAAAAAATAAAGCAATATAAGTGCTTATTTAATATTATATGTACTGACTGATTGCATTTCTTAAAGTTGACACACAATTATTTTGAATTATTTTCCCGATTTATTCAGTAGATAGAGATTTGAGATTTTACCTATTGAGTAATATTATTGTTGACCTTCAGTGCTGAGCTCCAAAAGTTATTAGTACTGCGGTGTACAGTTTGCTGAAGAGGCAACGATCGTTTCACAACGGTACAAATATTATTCAGCTGTTTACGAATATTATCTACCAACGTTATTATACGATGATCATACAATCGTAAAAGCGTTATTAAATTTTTGATAAATTTGTCTATGTGGGTCATATTATAAATACACAATAAAACTTAATATCAGATTTAAATTATTTTAATATAAATGTTAATTTACGTTGAAAAATATGGCGAAAATCCAATATTTTAATAAGCTATACAAAACAAATAATGGAAAAAACATTGGATTACCAAATAATAGATTCACGTGATAATAATTGTATGGTCAATGTTGAATAAGAATATATTTAAAATTTTTTTATACTCAGTATTGCGGAAGGAGTTACTTCCAACTTTGAAATTATTTTGTAACAAAACTTATAGAAGTCTATGGATTTTTATCCTGTATTTTATGTTTGCTAATATATTACATCGACAAAAGTGAAAAATGTGTACAACACATGTAATAAAAAATATATTTGTGTTCCAATTTTCTTTCAATACTGTAAATCAAGTCTTATTTTTGTATTTGGTATCAATTATTTTAATTTAAAATAATTATAATATACAAAAACAATGTTTGTTACTACGAAATAAAACAAAACATTTAAATTTTAAGATAAATCATTTTAGATTTTGAGCAGAGTCAGTAATTTATATTGTACAGTTTTAGTTTTGCTTTTGTAAAATAACTTTTAAACAAAAAATGTATTAGCATATGACAAATAGTAATTAATATTTAAACGGTTTAAATAAAAAAATTATTTAGTTAAAGGTATAATTATAGTTTTTAAAATATCCTTGATTTTAATAAAAAAAAAAAAAGAAAACTTTCATACCTAGCCTTGTTTGACGGGAAGAAAAGGATAAAACTTAAATACTTTGGGTTAAAAAACGAGCAAGATAGTTGACATCGCTAGAAGGCCACACTTCTTCATAACCACTCAAGTAATATTATTGTATTATGTTTTAATGATTAAGGAGGAAAATTATTTTTTCAAAATCTACATTGGAAATTTACAATCTAGATATTATTATCACCTCCACACTATCTTATACGAATTCACTTTTCTATATAAATAGTTTAAAAAACTGATGTTTTAAATAAATATCATAATGTTATAATCTATTACAAAACAATTTGTGTATGAAATAATAGTTTAATCCCTACTGTGGAATTCCTAGATTTTTCGAGATAATCATTAGATATTGTCTAACAAACATGATAAAAACTATTAAATATATGATAAAATCAAATGATAACGTTTAAATCGAACTGCAACTAACTCATAAGCCATAAGTTATAAAATATGTAAATAATTACCTTCCTTAATACAGTCGTAAACTTCCTATTTCTGTAAAAGGGTTCTTAATCTTACTCATATAAATGTTCTTGGTGTAATAATATACAAGAGAGTTCTATGAAAATTACCAGCGATAAACTCGCTATGATTAGTAAAAAGATTATTAGAGTAATGAATAAGAGAATATTTGTACATTTGTAAATTTTTAGACGAAAATTATTGATTTGGTCAAACTTAAAACAAATGACCTAAGAGAACACCACTATTAAGAGGTAAATCCATTTTACCAGTGGTTTTCAACTAGGGGTTGCTATAGTTTGGAAGTCTCTAAAAATAACAAAAAATGATTATTGATATCAACATTTATAAATGTAATCTAATTATTATGAATGTACAATAATATATCGAATAAAATAGCGTATATCGTGATCTTATCTGACGACGGATTATTAACCATAATCTATTGTAGTCACTAATTTTATTTAGATTGGCATTTAATACCCGGTTATATTTACTGTATACGTACATTTCAATAGTTTTAGTCACAAATATAATATTTAATAATAAATTTGGTTTAAAAACCAGATTTAAAAGTAGTAGTTTCTAATATAAAACCTAATATGGAAACTAGTTTCAAGTACAAGTTTCCTAAATAAGAAAATGTTTAACATACATTTCCATATTTATTTATCTTTTTTACATTTTTTTATTTATTTAAGTAAACGTATTCAAAACATTTTCATATTCTATTATTTATTATTCGTGGGGGTCTCAATAAAAAAAAAAATTAGGGGTCGCGATTCGAAAAAGATTGAATACCACTGCATTATACTAATACTATTGATGTAATATGTACGTGAAATATAATTTTTATTAATATTATGTGCGTGCATCGGCATCGCATTATGTTGGTATGTTACTACAATGTTCGTAACTACGATGATAAATATAGTGAAAATACTTACTGCCATTGCAAAAAAGTCTGCAGGAAGACTTTGACGGGGAAAAAAATTGAAAAAAGCGAACGCCGTTCAGCACCGCTCTTGATAGTTCCTGGACAGATATTAAAAATTATTTTATACTGGTTTTCATTTATATAGGTACGGCTGCGAACAGGTAAGGAAACAATATATACTCGTATATAATTACATTATACGAAAAAAACCACACGCACACACATACACTTCTTAAGTGTATTCAAAGTCTACCGGTTGGTAACGTAAAAGAGTGAGTGCGAATGAGAACCGGTAGGGAGATTGTGGCGTTTGAGTATTATGATGCTGCTGCTGCTGCTGCTGCTGCACTGTGTGTGTATAATATATTATTCTTCCAATGCACTCGATGGCGAGTCTCTGCGGACGACAAGGACACTTAAAATAATATTTCTAACTTACCGAAAGATGTCTGGACGTACACTCTCACACACATACGCACAGTCGATAACAATCATCGTAATTATACTTACGAACAAAACGAATACACCGGACGAATACGCCGATGACTTTCAATGAGATCGCACAGGGTTGTAGGTGTACAAGGGGGACGTGGGATCGGCATTTTTAGCGTGATTTTGTAACAATAGAATCAATATGGTCGATAAAAATATTGATTTTTGATTTTTAATGAAATATTTGCTTCTGAATTATGACAATGAACATACAAATGTCTATAAGTCGTATCTCGACCATCAATGTACCACAAACTGGTCAGTTTTTATAAATCAAAACTTACGTTTAGATGACCGTCCGAAGAAACAAAGATTTGTTTTATTGTGAATTATATAAAATTAAAGTTATTCATTCACATTCCTTCCATTCAAGATTGTTTTTCATCTTTTTCAAAAACTTTGTCTACACCACAGTATGTACACCTGTAGACGCTTTCTCGAATCACACTTTTCAGCCACGATATAAATTTTATTTTGATATCTGAAGTCGGAAGTGTTTACAATGTGTTCGTATATAGTGTTATCTAATACCACGGTTGTGAATAACAAAATATGTGACGAGTACGTCCGGTAGAAATAATACCTGCGAAAATATTATATTCACTATGCTTACATATAATAGGTTTCTCGTTGTGATGCTATACATATACGAGTATACCACTGTCCGTCTTAAAATATTTTGTCAGAGCTGCGCATTAAAATCGTCTAATGTTTTGAGCGATGTGCTTGTTTGTTTTTTTCAAAACGAATCGTGACGTCCACGTGTTTGTTTAGTGTCTGTAAATATGTTTTTTTATCTAGGAAATTTTTACTCGTGTTAATAGGCTTGTCATCAAAACGAAACCTTCACATTTCCGAAGAATTATAAATTTATTTTTTACACAAAATTAAATATTAGGTAAGATGATTTTTTAATTTTTTTTTTTTATATATATTTTGTTGACATTGAGATTATGCGTTCGTCTATCAAAAAAATAAAAATAATAAAAACTATAATGAATCTTCAATTGTTACCTTGTGAGACAGTTAAATGTCCTGTTTATCGAAAGCATATATTAAAGCCGAACATCTTAAATGCAAAAAAACCTGTCGAGTCATAGAAAGATGGATGATATTTTTATCTACAAATTAATAATGACTTGATTTGACTTGACTTGAAATGGATTATTATTCCAGATTTAAATATGTATTGAAAATTAGTATGCTTAGTTATAGTCTTTAAAATACACGAATACAATATTTAGTTAAAAGTAAACCAGTTTCATATTTTTAGTAGCACATTTTTATTTTTAAGTACTTTGAATGTGTTTTTAGAATTAAGATTATTTCACTTATCTTACTATATCTTACAAAAAATTTAAATTGTACTATATTTTTATATCAAATTTAATAAAAAAATCAAAATCGATGTAACTTATGATTAATTTTAAACAAATTATTGAAGTTTTTTGTAAATTTCTACATTTTCCTATAATAGTTCAACACAAAATAATGTAATTTATTCGAAGGACAAACCTATAGTTACAGGGATGTCTATTAGTTCCGGTCATAATTTAAAATAGTCGTCTACCTTTTCATTATAAATGCATACATAGAATAAGTTTGTATAATAAATCACTAATTTATTGTTTATTATTTTGTTTTGTATACCTATATAATATATATGTTTTTACTCTGTATATAATAATTATATTTTATAATGTACATGATTTTATTTTTATACAAGTAAACTGTACCGCTGGACTTCACCCTTTTATTTATTCATTTATTTGAAAAAAATATTACTATAATTATTATTATACGTAATTGGCGACTTATCTATTTAATTACCAAATAAAATATAAAAATGATTAATGATATTTTTTATTAAATTTAATTTAATTTCAATTTGTTAAATTTATTCGTAGATTACAAATAAATTTACAACTCATCTTTCAAATTAGTACAGTAAAATATGAAGTTCATATATTAATGGTTTTGATATGTTATAAGATTGAAAATTAGACTCATTTAGTTCTCTCATGTATTTATAATTAAACATTTGTAAACAAAAACCATTTTAAATTGGTTTTTTTTTGCATTAGTTGTGTTATGAATATTAACTCAATATTTTTCCTTTATGATTCACATAATCATTTGTATTATAATAATCGTATACCTGTTTTTTTTTTAATACGCTCTAAAGTTATATTATTAACATCATGAGTTTATGTGTTTAAAAATAAGTTTTATCGAAAGATTTTTTCAGCATTATCTTTGATAATATTCATTTAACTAACATTAATTATATATTTGAGTAACAAACATTAAACATTCGATGTATAATACTTGAGGAAAATAAATTTTGCAGTGATTATTTTTTTCGGTTTTAATTAGAACCATCTACTGGAATTTGAAATCACATTCAATGAACTATTGAAACTGTTTTATCCATAAAATTATAATTCAAAAATATTGGTAAATTTTGCATGAAAAATGATTTATTTTTTGGATAGAGTGCAAAATCACTTGTGCCTACATAATTATTACGAAAACAATAAATCATTAATCAAGTAATTGCTGATTAATAAGATAATGTAATTATAATTTATTGCATACATAATCGATATACATATTTTAATAAAAAGTAATAGACGTTGCATACAAACACCAACCAATAAAGAAAATTCTTTCAACTATACTTATATCCAAATAAAACTTTGAAATTAATTTGTATATTCCTTTTCATAAAAGACATCTTGCAGGTAAATGTTCATCTAATGAGTCCAAGCTAGTTTCAGTCGTATGGCTATGGTATGCTTGTATAAAAATGTAATTTAAAAACTATATTTTTGAAAAAAAAAAATTCTTATCATTATGTTTGGTAACATAATTTAACAAAAATAATAAAAATATGAAGTCGAATCACACGTAAAAGATTGAATTTATTGATTAATATACTTTTTGAATAATGATTATTAATTAATTTAGCGCATAAATATATTTAAACCAAATATATTTGATATCACGCACTTTACATACAGTACATTATTTCGGACATGTTATTTGAACATATTATATTTTGTGAAAATTGTTTACACCATATAAATATAATTCTAAGGTAGTTCTTCATAAATTATTCTTTAAAATTCTCAACGCAAGTTCAAGGTGAATACCCAATGATATTTTCTGATCGAAACCATTTTATTATATCAGATGTCTCTGGAATAATTATTACAAAGGTAGGAAATTGATTTTATTGGTTGTTATTGTTGCAAAATATAATTCAATGCATTCTTTATTAATTAAGGTTTCCGTTCGTCATTTTATAATTATATATTTCGACCACTAAGACCTCCTGTGTTACCATACAATGTTATTTTATTGATGAATGATGATCTAAACATAGTTTTTTTTATATATTTTTTTTTTATGGAAAATCATTAACTTATAAACATATTATCAAAAATGAGTTTTAGATAGATTTACTAGTTAAAAACGTGTTCATCAAATCACTATAATGTATTAATTATAATTTATTTTTATAATCATAACTTTATAAGCGTAATATAAAATTTAAAAAAATCATGATCAACAATGTTTGTCTACGTGGAAAGTTTATTCGTTTAATTTTCCGTATTCTGTAATTTCAATAGTTATTATCAAATTATTTTGGCAGCCGATTGAAATTTAATACGTTCAATAGATACAATATACGTTTTACTGTAGATTTCGGGTTTATAATTGCTCTTTGACAAATAATAAAATGTCATGACAAACTCGGATTTCAGGACATTGAAATTATTTTTTTGTGCCAGACCGTATAATAAAATACAAAAACATGCGTATTTGTGGAACTCTAATATTTACTGTAATATTGGATACCGACGGAATATTTGCTCATATTTTTTAACGCTAAGGCCAAACCAATACGCCGGAAACAACCGTTGTGGTTCAAGTCCTTCAAGATCAATGCACAGTTGTATATTTGACAATTAACATTTATTTAAATCTTATCAGTGTAAAGTTCGTAAGTTATAAATATGCATACTCAATTCGACGTACAAAATAAACGGATTATTATATATGTACACCGAGATTTTGATAAAAATAAATAAAAATAAATAATAATAACAATTTGCCTTTTTGTTGAACGTGTGGTTTATGAGCACATAGACATTTTACAATTCACTATTTATGAAACACTAAAATTTAACAAATATTATTGATTATTAAGTTCTCATCAATTTAAAAATATATTAATTAAGTATACTATTATATTCGTTCGATTTCTTAATATTTCGTCTATGTTTCTTAAATTGTTATACGTAATGCACTGAAATTACGGGATGTAATGAATTATTGAAATAGTAATTTTTAGCTGTAGAAATTTCAAATAAAATGTATTCATACACGTAATGTAAACTTTTTAAAATCATTATTTCAATTCATATTTAATGAAATAATTTACATTGATTACACGAACTTAATAGTTCGTGGTTTCGTGTTTTTATGTACAAATTTTCTATATTTTTTTCACGAAAAATCAATATTTCGAGAAATGTATTGGTAGAGATCACGTATATATATTTCAAACTCTTCCTTTGAAATGTTTTTGATTAACTCATGCGTGAGTTTGATTTATTGACATTTTAAAAATATTTATTATAAACAAAAGTAAAAAGTTTGTACTGTACAGAAATGGAAGACATGTGGTTTTGAACGGTATAAAAATGCGGTTAGACGCCCATATTTTGGTACTAAACATACTCATTGTTTCCATCTTATACGCATTAATT